GGGCACCGAGGACCCGGGCCAGCTTCACCGGGCTGGCTATAGCCACAGGGGATCATGGGTGGGTGGCTTGCATAGGCAGCAGCTGCAGGCACTGGCACCTGGGACCATGGGGCAGGTGGCTTGTCCTTCTCCCAGGCCACATCCACAGGTGCTGGCACCAGGACCTTAAGGACTGCGGGACAGGCATATTGTCCCTCTCCCGGCTGCAGGTGCAGATGCTGGCGCCCAGGACTGCGAGGCAGGTGGTTTGTCCCTCTCCCAGGCCTGGCTGGTCCCCATAGTTACAATAAACAGGATTTAAACAAAGTGGGGGTTTTTTTTTGCTATCTTAGAAGATAAAGATTTCCTCTCTTAATTCACATGAATTTAAGAGATTTTTACAGTGGACAAAAGGAAGCTTATGGGAAAAGTGAAAAGTTTTAATTTCCACACTTGAATAGTGAAAAGTACTAGTATAACTTGTGTAACTCATCTGAACTATTCATCACAGATAGTGACTGGCACTTAAATGGTCATCTGTAAATGTCCAAATTATATTTTAGACAAAATATGGACTATGCCAGCACTTACAGTATTTTATGCAGTGCTGCATTTATATAGTTAACAATGTGCATTATATCTCTTCTGCACAACAGAACCTTCATAGAATTGTTTTATACTAATGAATACTAAAACAAGATATTCTGAAATATAAGGAATGTCCAAATAGTGGCTTTGTGATTTTTTTCCCCCCATGTTTTAAGCACCCATGGTAATTTTGTATTACTGGGATTTTTATAATTTCTAAACTTTATTATATATACATATTAATTTAAATCATGTATTTAAAAGTAAATACTAAATAAAATGTATGTATACACTTATTTGTTTTACAAAGAAAAATAGCCACAAAAATTTTTCCTTTGTTCTTGGCAAAAAATACCTATTTCAGAGAATACTGTACAATAACATTTAATTTTAAAAATGTAAATAATTACATTAGCATTTCTCACCAACAACTTTATTTATGAAGACTTTTGAAAACTTATACACACCTTAACTATCTTGGGATTTTATTTCCCTTGGGCCCAGTGAAATAATGTCTGGCCTTAAAATTACAGTGACTTGATCTTAAACAATATACTAAAATAATGAGATTATTGTATAATGTAAAAATATTTTTTTAAATAAAGCCTAAATGGCAAATTAAATGTAGGTTGTGGTTTTAAAATAGCAACAACATAGTTTACAGTAATATACGTTCAGCACCAGAGTGGGGGACTGCATGCAGTAGGTGCTTCATTACAACTCTTGCTCAGCCGCTGATGGAAGCTATGATTTTAACGGTGTGGCTCCTTCATAGGTCAGACAGGAAGCATCAGTCCTAGGCCCACACGAATGGATAAAGCTTCTCGTATACATCTAGTCCAGTGGTTCTCAACCTTCCTAATGCCGCAACCCTTTAATACAGTTCCTCATGTTGTGGTGACCCCCAACCATAAAATTATTTTCGTTGCTACTTCATAACTGTAATTTTGCTACTGTTATGAATCATAATGTAAATATCTGATATGCAGGATGTATTTTCATTGTTACAAATTGAACATAATCAAAGCATAGTGATTCACCACAAAAACAATATGTAATTATATCTGTGTTTTCCGATGGTCTTAGGCGACCCCTGTGAAAGGGTCGTTCGACCCCCAAAGGGGTCGCGACCCACAGGTTGAGAACCACTGATCTAGTCAGTACTTCAGCCAGAAAAGCAAATAAATGTGCTACTCTAGTTATGTAATTCTGCACTGGGGGAAGGGAGGAGTATTAAGGTCACAATTTAAATCATATTTACATATAAATATAAATATATATACATACATACATATATATAAATTGTAAATATATATGTAAAATTTCCCCACTATCTTGGTTTCAGAGTATGTTCATAGTTTCCACAAGTAGCAAATTTGGATTTCCTTTTGCTTTACCCTAGGGCAGTGATGGTGAACCTTTTGAGCTCAGTGTGTCAGCATTTTGAAAAACCCTAACTTAACTCTGGTGCCGTGTCACATATAGAAATTTTTTGATCTTTGCAACCATAGTAAAACAAAGACTTATATTTTTGATATTTATTTTATATATTTAAATGCCATTTAACAAAGAAAAATCAACCAAAAAAATGAGTTCGCGTGTCACCTCTGACACGCGTGTCATAGGTTCCCATCACTGCCCTAGGGCCTAGGCAAACTGGAATTTACCAATATGTTATTATTGGGTACAAAGAACCATTTCAAAGACATAAAATGTTTCTGTACATTTAAAAAAGAGAGTCTTCTTTTGGTACCCAACTCAAAACAAGAAAATAGTTCATGCAAAAATGAGTTACCAGTAGAACCTTATAAAACCATATACAGATTAAGAATTTTAACAACAATATTCCCTCTTATCCAGTTTCATTTGCCCAGAGTCAATCACAGTCCAAAAATATTAAATAGAAAATTCCAGAAATAAACAATTGACAAGTTATAAATCGTGCTCCATTCTAAGTAGTGTGATGAAATCTCATGTCATCCAGCTCCATCCTGCCTGGGATGGGAATCACCCCTCTGTCTAGCATATTCACGTTGTTATTCTACCTACCTATTAGTCACTCGGTAGTCTTCTAGGTTATCAGATCGACTGTTGGTATCCCAGTGCTTACAGTAGCCTAATGCTATACCACAATACCTATAATGTCACCCATTCGCCTCACTTCATCTCATCAGTGTATAATCTTACATTGTATAATCTTACATCAATAGAAGGGTGAATACAGTAGAATAAGATATTTTGAAAGCGAGACTACATTCACATAATATTACAGTATCGTGTTATAATTGTTCTATTTTATTATTGGTTATTGTTTTAATCTCTTACGGTGACTAATTTATAAAGCAAATTTGATTATATGTATGTATGTATAGGAGAAAACATAGTATATATAGGGCAGGTGTGGGAAATGTTTGTCCTCCAGGATCCATAAGGCCCATGAAATCATTTGGTCTGTCCCTGCCCCAAAGCATAAGGGGTGAGTTAATTAAATGTTTAAGCAAATATACCAAGCTAATTTTTGAGTTGATAATTTTGTATGGCCTATGAGTGATGTTATAAATATCCAAATGGTGCCTGGCAGAAAAAAGGTTCCCCACCCCTGATATAGGGTTTCGTACCATCTGAGGTCTTAGGCATCCACTGGGGTCTTATAAGATACTAGAGGCCGATGCACGAAAAGTCATGTACTGGGGAGTGATCTCTCAGCCTGGCCTGCTCCTCTCATAGTCCAGGAGCCCTCAGGGGATGGCCTCCCTCCGCAGGAGGCAACCAGGTTAATCCGGGAAGGCACCGCCCCCATCACCCCAATACTGCTGCTGCCACTGCTGGCCACAGCGGCTGCAAGGCCAGAGCCCTGGGCCTCACAGCTGCCTGAGCCCATGGCTGCCTGAGCCCACAGCTGCCATGACCCCCAGGCCTCGCAGCTACTGTGGCTTTGTCCAGATGGACATCTGGATGGACGTCCGGAAGACGTCTGTCCTAATTAGCATGTTACCCTTTTATTAGTATAGATTCCATGCAGATAATAAGGGGCTACTTTTCATACAATGTGAAAATTTCTGTCATGTAAATGTCTTAATATCTATAGATGTACATATATGTACATATATGTAAGTAAAAGTCAGCAACCCTTTGAAAAGCAGCACTTTCATTTTGTTATTTGTATTCCTCAGGAATAGACATAACTGTACATTATACAGATCAAATCTTTTAAAGTAATTTTAATCTTTAAGTTTGATGTCATATTAGCACATTTTATGCGGACAATGAAAGTCCACCTTATTTTGGTTCTTAAAGGAAACCACTAAGTCAAATTTAATTTAATGTTGTTTTCTGTTCCATAGGAGCATCTTTAGTTCAATAAAATATCTTGACAAACTATGCCTGAGATCTTAGGGGACTGTTCTGGGCTAATCCTAAAGTTCAGTGTTCTAGGACATTGTGTTACAGCAGACGTTAACCTCAGTGCCTGCCTTGTCTAAGTACAAATTGGCAACCAAAACTATTTGCATCTTGGCTCAGAACATGGAACACACATTCCCCATTCATCATCCAAATAACTGAGTGATCCAAAAATATTTTCTCATTAAAATATCATTAGTAAACATGTAGGAAAGCTTTTAAACAATTGTTCTTTCAAAAGTGTTTAAGCAAAACAGTAAAAATAAATAACCTAGATATGTCATTTTCTCTAGGCTAGTATGGAAGTTCTTGTAGCCCTTGCTTGATTTTGAAAAACTCCTCAATACTTAAATACGGACCTGAGAGGAAAATGGGCCTCATCAATGCCCATTATTTGCATCACTGAGTGTTTTGTGATAGCAAATGTCTACACTCCTAGAGGGTTAGGATAGTGTAGTGCAGTGTGAACCCCAGAACCAGACCTAGGTTTGAGGCCCCACCCTACCACTTACTAGCAATGTGAATTGGGCTAAAGTCACCTCTTTGGGCCACAGTTTCCTCACAATGTTGTATCAAATAGGTTACCACATATAAAGCATTTAGGACAATGTCTGGCATTTGGTATTCATTCAGTAAATATTATCATGTTATGTTATTCAATTTTTTTTCATTTAAAACTTAAAGAGAGGCCCCACATCAGACTTCTAGTTGCTGTTAATTATCAATTCTTATTTTTATGTATTTAGTGTACTCCCTGGTTGATGTATATATATATGTGTATAATCTATACCATGTAGTACATATATGTATATGTAAACCATATAATGAATATGGTATACTAGAGGCCCAGGACATGGAATTCATGCATGGGTAGGGTCCCTAGAGGCTGCCGGCTGCTGGCCGGGGCCTCCCTTCCCCTGGATGCTTGCCTGCCGCCACTCGCCGGGGCCTCCCTTCCTGCAGTTAGCCAGCCAGCCACGCCCCCTGGTTGAACTCCCATTTGAACTCCTGGTCGAATTCCCAATTGAGGTGACAATTTGCATATTAGGCTTTTATTATATAGGATATGTGTGTGTAAGGATGTGCAACAAAGAGACGTGAAAAACAACATTTTTGAGGTGAAATACATAATACAGAAAAATAAAGTACAGTAAGTTGAAAAAAACTTTGTCCTTAGAGTCAACCTTTCATGATGGTAAAGAACACATTCAGAATATCTTCACTTTTAAGTAAGCCAGAAGTCTGATTTTCTTAAGCATAAGTCATCTTTCCAAGGTAGTTAGCTGGCACATATCCTTTCTGCCCTCGAGCTTCAGCTAACCACCACTCTTTATTGCCACTTAGATCACAAAATCTAAGTATATGAACTCTTTGGTATTCCTGAAGGCTGAGTTCACAATTACTCCGTGCTTCAAAGGCATGAACTGCATAGAAAATCTAGACAAAGAAGCAAATGACATTAATTAGAAACAGAATCTAAAAGTGTTAATAAATGTTAATAAAGATTGCCAACCTTTTAGAAGGAATGCTAGTTTTCTTATTTTCCCAAAATGATATTTCCTCAATTCCCGCTGGGTGTATTTTGCTTAAGTGTAGTCCAGATATGAATATAGCGAAATCGGCATTCTTATTGTTCTGTTGGGAGGAGTCTGAACTCTACTTGAAGGCAATTTGGCAGCTTCTGTTTAAAATTTTTTAAAATATTCGTTTTAAAAAATAATAGCTCTAAGAATCTCTGCTACAGAATAGAAACATTGACAGATTTTTACACAATAATGTTATTGCAATACCCATTTATAAGGTGAAAAGTGGGAGAAGAGTGAACACTGAAGATTCAGCAAGAGAATAAATCCTAGACCATACACTAAAGAAGTCAGTAGTCATTACAAGTGACTAATAATATGGAAAAATCATCATAAAATAGTAAGCAAAAAGGACATAAAATCAGATGTACAATATAAGCCTAATATTGTTAGATTCTTTGGTAGAGTTAGAGGTGATTTTCACTTCCCCTTGTTTCCTTATTTTCTAAACCTATATAATGACAATGTAATAAACTTATAATATTTAAAATAGTTAAATTACCTAGAAGAAACTAGTAAAACACATTTCCATCAAAAGAAATTTTCTCCAGCCTCGAAAGAATACTTCGCAATTAGTAGCTGCATAAGAAGCCACTAAGTAAATGTTAAGTCCCTCTTCCACTAAAATCATAAAACTGTTAATAAAAATGTTTTCTGTTTTGGCATAAAATTAAACAATCAACTAATAACATGTATTCATTCATTTCATCAGAATGTATTAAGTACCTATTAAGCACCAGATATTATATTATCATAGAACTTGTAACCCAGCTAGGCGGGAAAATTAAAAAAAAGAAAAGAAAAGAAAAGAAAGGCATGGGGGGGCGGGGCAGGAGGTGGAAGAGAGCATAGAAGGGATAAATGGTGGAGAGAGAGAGAGAGAGAGAGAGAGAGAGAGAGAGAGAGAGAGAGAGGAGAGAGAAGGGAGGAAGGGAGGAAGACAAAACAAGAAAACGCCTTATGCCGAAACCGGTTTGGCTCAGTGGATAGAGCGTCGGCCTGCGGACTGAAAGGTCCCAGGTTCGATTCCGGTCAAGGGCATGTACCTGGGTTGTGGGCACATCCCCAGTGGGAGGTGTGCAGAAGGCAGCTGATCGATGTTTCTCTCTCATCGATGTTTCTAACTCTCTATCTCTCTCCCTTCCTCTCTGTAAAAAATCAATAAAATATATTTAAAAAAAAGAAAAAGAAAAAGAAAACGCCCTATGCATGCAGGTGATATATCAGCTCACTGTGAGCTGGTTTTTGGAATAAGTAATCTTTTATAGGTGATACAGGGGTGGATATATCGTATTCAAAGGTATATGAAAACAGTATATGAGAACGACAAGCAGGTTAACTTGCTCAAAATTGAGGGTCAATGTAAAATGGAACTATTAGAAATAAGGTGACTTGTTGAGCAGGGAGAGACTGGGCAATATGGGGAGGGGACTGTAGTTAGAATTACAGTTGGTTTTTGAATCTTAAACTATTATTTAACTTTCGGTAAGATTCTGATAGCATTGATTTGTGTACCATCTCAACAACTCAGCATGAGTCCACCTTGAGGAAAGGCAGCCCATTTTCTCCATTGAGCACGTCAGAGTAGACAGTAGTAATTCAAATATATGTTGATTTGACTTGAAAGTAACCTGAAAGGCTTGGATATCATACAAGAACATATAAAAGATCATCTTGCATCATGCGAGATACAAGGCAGATTGTTGGGCATGGATTATTTTGTAATTTAAAAAGTAAAGAAAACAGCCTGGCTGGTGTGGCTCGGTGGTTGAGCATCGACCTATGAACCAGGAGGTCACAGTTTGATTCCAGGTCAGAGCACATGCCCTGATTGCGGGCTGAATCCCCAGTGGGGGGCATGCAGGAGGCAGCTGATCAATGATTCTCTCTCATTGTTGTTTCTTTCTCTCTCTCCCACTCCCTTCCTCTCTGAAATAAATTTTAAAAAACATTTTTTTAAAGTGAAGGAAACAAAAAGGGAGGTACCATAAAATCTTGAGCAGTGGAATAGCAGCAATAATAACTACCTTTTATAGCACTCGTGACAATTTACATGTCAAATGTGCTTTATCCTCAACAGCCCTGTGAACTGTGATTTGGAGAAGTAGCAACATGCTCTCAATCACAGAGCTAGTGGGTGCTGCTAGGACCACATCCTCTAACTCCTGTGCTTGGTCCAGGTCTCATAATACTTTAGGAGCTGAACTCTTGTTCTAGAAAAGGTGTGCAGAGTGTATTCTTGCAGAAAGGGATTGGGCTCTCTAATATGTTGCTGCTCTGTTGGTTTTGTGTGTGTGTGTGTGTGGGGGGGGGTATTGTTTAAAGTATTACATATGTCTCCTTTTCCCCTGATTGACCCCCACCACCACTCCCCTGCCCCAGGACAAGCCCCCACCACCCCAGTGTCTGTGTCCATTGGTATTGCTCTGTATTTGTTGTTGTTTAGAAAGTAAAGACCCTGAATAGATCCTCCAGAGCTAGTGGAGGACTTGGCTTGCAGAAGCATTCAGGAATATGATGTACCATAGCACAGCTCCTGAGAAATAATCTGTAACAGCCCACATGGGCAGTTGCTAGCCACCTTTTGTAATTTTTATACATAATATATGCATTTTACCAATGCAGCTATAGATTTTTTTTTTTTTAGCAAGTCGAGTCACCTACTAGTATATTATTCCTAAATACAGTTTACCCTTGAGTAATGTGGGGCGGGGGGGGGGGGGGGTTACAGCACTGACCCCCTCCTCCTGCAGCTGAAAACCCACGTATAATTTTTAACACCCCTCCTGAAACTTAATTACAGCAGTCCTCAAGTTACGGTTACGCTGGACTCGACGTACATCGTTTCGTGGTTACGTTGCCATCTCCCAATTATTTATAAAAAAAAAAGTTCCATCATTTCAACATATGTACATATGTGCTTTATGTTTTTTATTATTTCTTTACCACAAGTAAAGGTCAGGAATTGTTATCTTTCTTTTAATTTGTTTTTTTACTGTTTCACTTCATTACTGTTGTGTATGTGCTCCATGTGAGTGACGTAGGTGCTTACGTAGGTGGGTTCTGACTTACGGTGAAAATCACGTTATGTCTCACGCAGTAGGAACGGATCTCCGACGTAACCCGAGGACCTACTGTACTGATAGCCTTCTGTTGATTGGAACCTTTAACATAAAGCTGATTAACGAATATTTTGTATGTTATATGTATTATGTGCCTCATTCTTATCAAAAAGGAATCTAGAGAAAAGAAAATGTTAAGAAAATCATAGGGCATATAAGTGCACCTACACATTTTAAATGTGTTGTTCAAGGATCGACTGTATCTGTGCTCACCTTTCATTTTAGCACATGTTTTTTTAATGGGAGTATATAAAATTTTCCACATTGATCTGTTTGGTCTGAAATTGTAACAGCTTATATTTTAAACACTAAATATTGATTCTCATGAAACTAAATTTTAAAGTGCAAAATTATAACATATACTTTCAATAATTTAGATGATCATGGTCCAAAATTAAATAGGATGAGCAGTTTTCAGTTTTTATATATGTTTATGCCCCCCATTTAACATAAGATAGATCTTCAAAATGGAAATAAGTCTACTTTTAAAGAGACAATAGTTCATAACATTGGACTACAAGTTAGAAGTTTTCAACCTGTTATAGATTCAAAGTTAAAGACTTTCTTATATTTAAGATAGTTTAATAATTCTAGTCTGTATCTTTCTTTCAATGTTAACATGTTTTCATCTAGACACATTACAATTTACGTCATAATCATCTGAATCTTTTTCCTTGGCATTTCTTTCATTTTATTTTTCCCATCACCATTTATCCCCTCCATGCCCTCTTCCAGCTCCACCTCTGCCTGCCGCAATCACCACACTGTTGTCCATGTCCCTTGGAATTTCTTAAAATAATATCTTGTTGTTGGCTTCTTTTTAAAGCCCTGGCTCATTTTATGTACAATATTCTATGAATGTAATCCAGTTGTCCACAGCATTTGCTTTTTTAATAATACTCTGTATTAAAAAAAATAATAATAATAATACTCTGTATTACTGTATTATGGACTCATACCCAATTTATTACCCACTGTTTATAACCACCAGATCATTCCCAGTTCAGCATTTCCTTATTCTATATTAGTGCATTTAATTATTCCTTCCTTAGTGAGCCACGTTACTGGTCTTCACTGAATCTCATTTTTTTTTTCTTTTATCCCAGTTCTTCAATTAGCAACAACAAAAATCATAATATATTTTAATAAGGCTTTCCAAAACTAAAAAAAACAACTATAAACCAGTATTTACAGTATTATAGTATAGTAGAGGCCCGGTGTACAAAATTTGTGCACGAGGGGGGTACCCTCAGCCCAGCCTGCACCCTCTCCAATCCAGGACCCCTGGGACATCCATCTCACAATCCTGGACCGCTGGCTCCTAACCGCTCACATGCCTGCCGGCCTGATCATCCCTAACCACCTTTGCCTGCTGGCCTGATTGCCCCCAACTGCTTCCCCCGCAGGTCTGGTCGCCCCTTATTGCCTCCCCTGCTGGCCTGGTTGCCCCTAACTGTCCCCCCCCCCCCCCCCCCCGGCCTGGTTGCCCTCAGCTTCCCACCCTGCCAGCCTGGTCACCGCTCAATGTTCTCCCGCTGGCCTGGTACCCCCCAACTGCTCTCCTCTGCTGGCCTGGTCACCCCAAATACCCCCTTCTGCCAGCTTGGTTGCCCCCAACTGCCCCGCCCCCTCCAGCCTGGTCACCTTTGACTGCCTCCCCTGCCAGCCTGGTCACCCCACACAGCCTGCTGTTCAGTCATTTGGTCACCCCTCACTGCCCGCCCTGCCGACCTGGTCACCCCATGCAGCCTGCTGTTCAGTCGACCGGTTGTTTTGGTCATCACGGTCACTGCCTTTTTATATATATAGATACAGCTCAGGAAGCCAAAATAGTTATTTCACATTTTTAAATATGCTCATTTTTCTTTCTTACCCTGCAGGACAAGCTTTCGTGTACTTTAGTTAACAATCCTATATTATAAAAGGCTAATATGCAAATAGACTGAATGGCGGAACAACCAAAAATCCGAACAACTGGTCGCTATGATGTGCGCTGACCACCAGGGGCATGATCGGAACATAGCAGGCATCATCAGCAGGCAGCAGAGCGCGGAACATGGCAGGCATTGGCCATGGCAGGATGGTGGAGCAGGTGAGTGGGGGCACCAGACCAAGGCGGGGTGCTGGTTGCTGTCATAGGGGCAAGCCTCTGGTGGTTAATGGAAATTTTTGCTCCCTCACACTGCAGTCCCACCTGGTGCTCCCACCTGCTGCTGGTGCCAGCCCTGCTTGTACCCTCTGCCGGTACTGGAGCTGCTGCTCGCACCCGCTGCCAGTGCCTGGCACTGGCCCCGATCGCTCATCACCATCAGTGGGTGTGAGCGGCAGCTACTGGCCCCGATCACCTCTCAGGGCTTCTCTACCTCCCCCTGCTCCTGAGGGACAATCGGGGCCGGCAGCCACCTCTCGCACCTGCTGCTGGCACCAGAGACGCTGCTTGAACCCAGTGACAGCACTGGCCCCAATCACTCCATGCTGTCAGTGGGTGTGAGCGGGGCTGGCGCCGTCAGTGCATGGGAGTGGCAGCTGGAGTGGAGCTGCCAGCAGACAGGGGACCAGGAGGCCGTGGTGGGAGGGGTTGGGCGGGGGTGTGGAGAATGAGCCGAGAACTGCCCCTGTGCCCACTGCAGCCTTGTGGCCCACAGTTCCTTTCAAGGCACCCGAAATCATGCACTGGCCCCCTAGTTATGTATGATTATTACACAAGTAATTTTTATTAATAAAAAACAATTTTAAATAAAGGTAAGCAAAAAAGAAAAGAAATCATCCAACTGCTATTAATACCTTGCTTTCCTTGCTTGCATCCTGCCTTCCTTTCTTCGTCGTTTATCTTTTTTTCTACCTACCCACCTGAAGTGCTAATAAACTTACAATTAGAGTACACATAATTTTTTCAATCTGTTTTTTCACTTGAAAATATAGTAAAAAATCTTTTCATGTCATTAAAACTTTCTAAAGCGTCATTTTAACAACTACTTAAATACATTAAGCTCCAGCCTGCTGACTTTTGAAGCATTTCCTAAACAATAATATACTACATATATAGCATTATTATTATTATTATAAGTAGTTGAAAATGTAAGGATAGAGGGCCAGACAATGAATTTAGAATTAGCAGCAAAAACAACTAACTTCTAATAAGTCAAAAATTACATCCTCAGCATAATATATGTGGGGGGGGGGGGGGAAGTGCACTTATTCTCAGACATTGAAATTCCCACCAAAATTGGATTTTAGCTATTATTTAAACCCAGTCCTTTTGAGAAGTACCAAAGATTGCATCACAATAGTCCGGCATCCTGCTTGCCACACAAGGCATCTTAGAGACTGTGGTAGTTGTGAATGTGATGGGCATTCCTGTGGTTATGTTATATGGAAGGGATTTTGCAGAAGTGCCTAATGAATTGACTTTGAGTTAGTCACAGCTTATTTTGAATAGCCTGAATTGATGAGAGATTGGAAACCAGAAAGATGCTCACCTGCTGGCCTTGAAGAAGCAGACAGCCATGCTGTGAGCCGCTTAGAGATCACCACATACACATTTCTGAGAGCAGCCTCTCAGTGCTGAGAGGCATCATGGCCCTTGGCTGATGACCAGCAAGGAAAGAGAGGCCTCAGTCCTACTGGCACTGAATTCACCCAACAACCACAAATGTGGAAGGGAACCTGAAGTTTCAAAAAGAGCACAGACCAGCCAAAGTCTAGGCTGCAGCTCTGTGAGATGCTAAGCAGAGCCCCCAGCTAAGCTGTGCCTGGATTCCTAACCATGGAAATGGTGAGCTAATAAATGTATGTTGTTTTAAGCTACCTATTTTGTGATAATTTGTTATGCATCATAGAAAATTAATATATATCATGCTGTTACTATTTGATGAGCAAAAGGGAGGAATACATTATAATGGGAAGGCATATTTTTTAATGCTTTTTTGCTTTTTGATATAGCATAAAGTAGAGAGCAAAGAAGAAGTTAAAAATTAAGTCCCTTACTATAAATCAATCCTACCAGTTTGTGAATATCCATTGGTTCATCCCCATTATTATATGTCTCTGGATCATAAATTAGGAGAGCTTCTAAAACATTCAGAGAAAGTCCCTGCTTTCTGCCTGTGGTGTGCATGTAAGATTCTGAATGAGTTGATACTGAGGCCCCAATATGTAGATTGACAATACTTCCTACTTACACCTGTTTAGTGTCTCGTCTAGAGGCATTCTCTTTCATTAACAAAAGTTTCTCATTATAGGTAGCAAGAATTTTCACCCTACCTTAAGACTCCTGAACCACTATAACCATTGTAGAAAATGCTGGAAGCTCTTTACCCAACAATTTTTTCTTGATTGGGTGGAAGAATTGATAAATATAAGTTAAGCTTTCAGAGCAATGGTTTCTACCTTTTTCAATAGAATTTCCCTTTGAAAATCCAGTGAAAGATATGGACTTCTTTTACCATAGTTACATACATAAGCAGGCAGTTTGGAACATATTTGAGAAAATTCATAAAACCTCCCAAATCCCATTCACAGAACCCTTTTATTCTTTGAGTTCTTCCAGGTTAAAAACAGCTTTGGTGTAAAAATCACACAGCCAATAAAGTCGTAAGTCAATCAGAACTTGCCTGTTTTGGACTGATTTTTAGGCCCCACTGAATCCCCTGAATATCAAATAGAGGCCAAGGCCACCCATCCATCTGTCTTTCTTGCCAGGATCCACTACAACCACCAATAAGGCTAGATTACAGCTGATAACCTCCCTTGACAATGTGCTGTTGCAATTCTGGAAGAGAGCAAGGGAAGTGTTGCTGCCATGGTATGAAAGGATAGGGAAAGAAATGCTGATCCCAAGTGTCATCCAATTAAGGCAGTACAGGTTTCAGTTGATATTCCTGATAATAAAATAAAATCAAGAACAAAAGTCTAGTCACACAAAAAATTGCCTTGTAGGTTACCTCAAATGTGCACATTACAATAAACAGTGTATTTTCACTGTTCACAAAGATGATGCAATTTACTCCCACTTTTCAATCACTTTATAAAATCAATTTATTAAAAAAGGAGGTAGATATTTAGCTGCTGTTGCCTAAGGTACATTGTTAAGTAAAAAAAGATTATTTAACACATGCATGTTTTCACTCATATAAATATGTGTTTGTATATGCACAAAGTCTGAAAAGATAATCTGAATATTGCCTCCGAATCAGAGTATAACTGGGGAAGGAATTAATATATATTATATATATATAATCTTTCTACTTTTTAAACTTTTCACAAATAGCATGTATTACCTTTATACAAAACAAAATCTATACTAATAAAAACCTAGGTGGTCCTCACACCCTCCTGCAACGCCCTCACATCATCACAAGATGGCCACCCTCACATCATCACAAGATGGCTGGCAGGGGAGGGCAGTTGGGGGCGATCAGGCTGGCAGGGGAGCAGTTAGGGGGTGATCAGGCTGGGAGGCAGAAGCAGTTAGGGACAATCAGGCAGGCAGGCAGGCAGACAAGTGATTAGGAGCCAGCAGTCCCGGATTGTGAGAGGGATGTCCCAGATTGGAGAGGATGCAGGTTGGGCTGAAGGATATCCCACCCCTCCACCCCCGCCCTGCACGAATTTTGTGCACTGGGCCTCTAGTTAATTAATAAAAAGCCACTAAAAAAAAGCAACTTAAAAAAAGAACCAGGTAATCGGGTAGTTGATCACCACTTGGGGATATAAAGTTAAATATATTAAAACTTTCTGAAGTAGAATAAAGGAACTCTACATTATAGTTAACTAACCATTTGCAAAAGAATCATCCCAATCGCCTTTGCATTGATGCACTGAGGGAAAAGTAGCTCTTAAAAAATGTCATTATATGTTATATGTCATTTTACAAGATTAAAAATGGCCAATTCATAGATAACTCAATGCAGATATTGCCCTCAGAAGAATTAGGAACAGTTTTCCAGAGGCTACTGATGGTGGCAATCTGTTCAGTAGGAGCTGTTTTCCTCTGATGGGGGGAGTATAAGAAGACCACCTTCACTCTATGTACATCACAACAGGGTAAAGGTAGCACCACTACTTACTGAGTGCCACTCCATGCCTGGTACTTTACACATCCACATTATCCCTGATCCTCACATCAACTCTGCCAAATAGGAATTAATGTCCTTATGCCTGCATTTGAGGGAACAGACTTAGAGAGGGAATTCCCTGCAAACACTTGCACAGAGAGTAAGCACTAATAGAGTTACTAACAGGTCTTGACGTCAAAGCTGATGCTCTTCCACCAAGTCTTACAATAAGAAAGAGCGCCATCAGTGAGAACATCTTTCATGATTTGAACAGCCACGTGTCTTTACATCAAGGTTGTAATTCTTACCTGCTCGTCTACCTCTTGAAAGCTGTCAACATCAGTGCCGTTTGTTTCAAACTTTCCACATGTGCCACTCAGAGAGGAGCTGCTGTCACTTATGCTACCTTCTGGGGTGCTTGTGACACTGTCCCTAGTTGGCCTCGAAGACACAAAGAGGCTGATGTTATCAAAGTCATCATCACAGGACCTGTTCTCAGCGCCCACCTTCTGCGCTTTGGCCGGATTGTAGGGTTTTAGGAAGGAAGAGTACACATATCCTTTAATAACTAGACAGGAGTAAAAAGAAAGAAGTAAAAAGGTCATTCGTATACAGTTTCCAAACATTCGTGTTTAGAGAAGCACACAGAGATTCCCGAAAGACTCAACCAGAGGAGAGGTGATAGTTCTGTGCATCTTAAGCAAATCACTTACTTCCTGTGTCAACAAGCCACCTGCTCGTACTCCCCAATGGATCTTTCTGCTCCATCACAGCCACCAACTCCCCTTCCAGAAGATTGATGTCATGTTCTTGTGTAGCATTGCATTTGCGCTTCGCTTGGTAGAGTTCCTCTGTAGTGTATGTGGACAGAAGCCTGGAGCGGTGAGTGTCAGTTTGACGTGGCACCTCTGGCTGGGAGAGGTAAGGAGGAATTCTGGTTTAGACAGCTGTGTTCTAAAATCCTCACTGGGTTGATAAACACTTGTCCTCTGGAATTTTTTAAAATGTTGAAGCCATACATGGATCTGGGATTATTTTAGTGCTGAGACATAGATTGGGCTATTATTGTGAAGTATCCAGCTGAGTTATACAGTGAAAAAATCTCTAGCTAGCACATGAGGGCAGTGTTGTAGAAAAGAAAGAAAATTCAAAGAAAATAAGAAGGCAGAGGTTCTAATCCCTCTCTTACGGTGAACGCATTTTTAGCTCTTTGTCACACTGTAGACATGTCCTTGCATATTAAGCACTTGATACATATTTAATTAAGTAAATTGTAGATGTGTATGTCTTTTTCTGGGAAATAATACCAGTAAACTAGGCAGAGATCAAGAGAACTAGCCCCATCCCAGCTCTGCCACTAAGTGACTTTGAAAAGGCCACTTCATCTCTCGATTCCTTATTTAGAAAAAGTGAAAGGTTTGAACTATACAATTTAGTTCTATAAAATTCTAATATTTATTCAACAGATACTTATAAAATATCTATCTTATATCAGACACCATTTTAGTTGCTTGGAATAAATACATCATGTACAAAACATAAAAATCTATACACTTAGAGTTCATAGTGTAGAGGGTAAAAAGAGACAAAAGTGTCTGCATAAAATAAGTAAATGACAGGATATTAGAATGAGATAAGTGATGTGGAAAATAATATAAATTGTGGTTTAAACAAGGAAAAGAAGTGATAGTCATCATTGGCATGAATGTTACCAAACTCACCGGAATTTGCACAGGCTTCTTCTTTTCAAAACTAAGTTTTCTCTCAATAAAGGTGGCACTGTTGTCCTTTATGAAATTCAGATTTTGAACCTCTTCTAGTACTCTGTTCTGCATTTCAGAGATGTTTGAAACCAACAATGGTACCTATAGGCAGAAATAAGATGACATTGTTCCAAGACAACTACTTAACCAATTAGGTACTGAGTTTAGTAGAGCTGTGAAGAACAGTTGAGAAAGTACAGGGGAGTTCCACAGTGAAAAATTAGGTCAACATTAGAATCAGAAAAAAAAAATGGCCTAATTTTCTATCTCCATAAATCCCATTAAAATGATAGGGATAATTTTTTTTAAAGAGATTCAAGCCTAATAAAAGGAGAACAGAAGAAAAAATAGCAATAAAGTTTTGAGGAAAAGGCTCAGGAATTGATGGCAGTAGTCACATTCAATGTGTTGGGTTGGATAGTGGGAAGTGGAAAGAGTCTACATGGTTTTAAAACAGATCAGCAAATATTTTGACATGCTTCCCATCAGGAGATGGAATCCATGTCCCCTCCCCTCAAAACTAGGTAGGCCTTTATGATCACCTCAATGAGTAGAATGTTGAAATGAATAGAATGATGGAAAAGATGCTGACTTTCAATATTTGGCTAAAAAAGACCATACAATGTCTACTGGGTTCTCTTGGGACACTCACTCTTGGGAGACTTTCATCACCATGGAAGTCCAGCTGTGCTATGCTACTATATGAAAAGACCATGTTGAAATGTCAGAGAGAAGAGTGACAGAGGGATCTTGAATATTTATAGTGGCACTATGCAGAATAGCCCAAAAGTGGAAATAACCCAAATGTTCAACTGATAAATGGTTAAATAAAATGTGACTTATCCATATTATGGAGTATTTGGGGGCAATACAAAAAATTAAGTACAGAAACACATTAAAACATGGATGGACCTTAAAAATATGCTGAATGTGAGAGCCAGTCACAAAAAAACCCCCAAAAACAAAAACCCACATATTGAATAATTCTGCTTATATCAAATGCCCATTTCTGTAGATACAGGAAAGAGATTGGTGGTCACCCAGGGCTGGGGAAGTTAGGGGGAAAGGTAGAGTCACCACTAATGGCTCAGAGTTTTTTTGGGGTGTGATGACAATGTTCTAAAATTGACTGTGGTGATGGTTGCACAACTCCTGTGAATATACCAAAAAAAAATATTGTATATTTTAAGTAGGTGGACTTTATGGTATGTCAATGATACCTCAATAAAGTTTTTAACCTCAAAACAGGGGGCTGGTACTATACTATTTTACAGCTATGCAGTAGACCAGTGTCCTAATCCTATCTAATAATAGACAAACATGGTAATTAATTGTACCTCCGACACGCTTCCCATTGGCTAATCAGGGCGATATGCAAATTAACTGCCAACCAAGATGGCGGCAAGCAGCCAGGCAGCTGAAGCGAACAGGAGGCTTATTTGCTCCAGTGATGGAGAAAGCCAAGGTTCCCCGCCTGCCGCTGCCGGCCTCTGAGCTGCACTCTAAGAAACAATGTTGCAATTATAGAAGCTAAACAAACCCAGAAACCTGCTTTCAGCCAGCTGGGCCTCAGAGCTGGAGCTGCAACAGTGTTTCAATTATAGAAGCCAAACAAACCCAGATACCTGCTTTCAGCAGCCGAGGTCTCAGAGCTGGAGCTGAGCCTCAGAGCTAAAGCCAGCTCTCAGTTCCAGTGACAGCCATAGAAGGTAAATAAATCCCAGAATAAAAAAAAAGAAAGAAAAAAAGGAGAGGTTGGGAGTGTCAGTCACCCACCAGCCTGAAAACGGCCCTCAGCCCCTCACCCAGACTGGCCAGGCACCCCAGTGGGGACCCCCACCCTGAAGGTGGTGCGACCAGCTGCAAACAGCCACCATCCCCTCATCCAGGCTGGCCAGGCACCCAAGCAGGACCCCCCACCCTGATCCAGAACACCCTTCAGGGCAAACCAGCTGGCCCCCACCCATGCACCAGGCCTCTATCCTATATAGTAAAAGGGTAATATGCAAACTGACCCTAACAGCAGAAGGACTGGGAATGACTGGTCACTATGACACACACTGACCACCAGGGGGCAGATGCTCAATGCAGGAGCTGCCCTCTGGTGGTCAGGGCACTCTCACATGGGAGGAGCTCTGCTCAGCCACAAGCCAGGCTGATGGCTGCCAGTACAGTGGTGGTAGTGGGAGCCTCTCCTGCCTCCTCAGCAGTGCTAAGGATGTCCAACTGCTCCCCGCTGGCAAGTGGACATCCCCCGAGGGCTGCCGGGCCTAAGCCAGCAGGTGGTCATCCCCTGAGGGGTCCCAGACTGCGAGAGGGCACAGGCTGGGCTGAGGGATCCCCCCTCCCCCCCGAGTGCACAAATTTTTGTGCACCGGGCCTCTAGTATATATATAAAAAGTCAGGTGCCATCACGACCAGATGGACGACCAAACAGCAGGCTAGGGAGTTGAGGGAGTGGGAGCTGTGGGCCCATGGCACAGCAGCGAGAGGAGGAAGCTGTGGGCCCAAATAACCAAAGGACCGGTCTGGCTCTCATGGCATAGCAGGGCAGGCTGTGGAGGCTGAGGAGCCTCGAGGGGCGGGGGGCTGTGAGCATGGAGCTTTGCAGGGCGGTGAGGCAGAGGAGTGTCATGGGGTGGGGGTGGTGGAGGCTGAGGCAGAGGAGCATGGTGGGGGCTGTGAGTATGGAGCTTCACAGGGAGGTGATTGAGGCGGCAGCTGAGGCCAAGGAGCCTTGCGGGGGGGGGGGGGGGGGCTATTAGCGTGGAGCTTCCTGGGGTGGCTGAGGTGGAGAAGCGTCATGGGGTGGGGGCGGTAGAGGCTGAGGCAGAGGAGCAGGGCAGGGGCTTTGAGTATGGAGCTTTGCAGGGAGGTGATTGAGGCGGTGGCTGAGGCCAAGGAGCCTCGCAGGATGGAGACTGTTAGCATTGAGCTTCCCGGGGTGACTAAGGTGGAGGAGAGTTGCAGCGGTGGCTGAGGCCAAGGAGCCTTGCAGGGCAGGGGCTGTGAGCGTGGAGGTTCATGGGGCAGAGGCCACGGAAGTGGAGGAGTGACGCTGGGCGGCGGACATGGCCCTGATTGCAGCTAGGCTTAGGGATCTTAACCACGCACGATTTAATCGTGTGCTGGGCCTCTAGTAAAACTATAAAAGGAATGAGGCAGCTCTCTGTGTGTGGACATGGATGCCTTCCAGGATGTTAAAAAGCAAGTTGCAAGGGGAGCGGGAGTGGGTGGGGAAAGGTCAATGGGGGGAAAAGGAGACATAAGTAATACTTTCAACAATAACTACTCATTTTTTAAAAAAAGCAAATTGCAGAAAGGCGCTATGACATGCTAGTTTTTGTAGGGAATAACAATATATATGCAAATGTACTTTTAATGACTCAAAGGAGCCCTAAGTGAATAAAGATAAACTAATAATCATGGGGTGGGAGCAGGAGGTGGGATGGTTAGGGGACAGGAGTGAGTGTGCAACTGCTTATATATTTTACATAGTTTTGCCTTTTGAACCATGTAAGTGTAACACCTGATTATTCAATATAATTTAATTCAAAGGATAAGTTAATTAGATGCCCAATAAAAAATAAAGTAGGGACAATTAATTTTCCTCCAAATGTCCATTAAATACCTCACCAGCTGAATGAGAACTAATACATGTGAAATTAAGGGCCAGGAAACCAAGTTGATTTTCTAGAGTTGATATTAAGATGCAAATATCTTTCTTCCTCTTCAGAAAATAGTCATAAAACCATATTCTAATGGAAGGCTAAATGAGATATACACACATATTTTCACACACACACACACACACACACACCCCAGTCTTCTCTTCTTTGGAGCAAAGCAAAATGAAGACTGGTTTAACAGTTATCCTACCTCTGTCATTCCACTGAGATGGCCTGCTTTTGGGTCTTCATCTTAGTCATGGGTAACACTGAAAAACTATTGCATGGGAAGGGAAGGCAAAATATGAACTGAGAAGCTACATCATAGCATCCGGCAGGTGGAGCGACATGGGTGTCACCTGCAATAGCGGAACGTGGGTTGGCATTTGAAAAGGAATCTCCAACACGAAAGCTGCACGTGTCTAAGTCATAGCAAACCCAAACCAGGAAACTCTCTTTCAGCTTCCTATGGAAAACCACACAGGCACGCACACGCATGCGCACACACTCGCACGCACCACACTGGTGCAAGCTATGGACAGGGCTGTTTTGCACGGACATTGTCTCCAATAGATGCCCAGACCAAGGTGGCCAGGTGCTGGTGCTGTGCTTACCGGCACCACTGTGGAATACAGCTGCTGCCTCATCAGCGTCAGGTCCCGGAGGAGGGTGATGAAACTGCACAGACAGTTCAACAGAATCTTGCGTGCGGCCTGGTTGAACACCTGGAGCTCCTCCACAAGCTGGGCGTTGAGGGCCTCGTACTCCTTTTTGGCCAAGTCTGACTCCTCCCCTGCTGCCCGCTGCAGGTAGCTGTTGTAGTCCAGCAGCTTATCATAGCGTTTCTGGATGAGTTTCTGAGGCCCTGGGAACAGGGACAGCAGGGCTGACAGGGGCGTCAGGACGAGCTTCTGTAAGTGAGCTGCCTGCGGAGAGAGGAAACAATCGGGTCATGGAGCAGCCAGCGCTGCTATCAATGGGCTTCCTTCCTCCCTGCAGGAGCAGGGAGACGGCCAGGTACCTAGCCAAGTTAAAGAAGGATTCAATCATTTTTCCGGCGTTGGGATCACCTCCTTCCACGCCTTCCCCTTCCCCCTCTTTCTAATCCCAGTGCCAGCACGTGGAGGGAGGGGGTGACCTCCAGCCTGTGACTGCCCAGACTGCATAAGTGATTCACCTGTCATTTTGCTGGCAATAAAAGAAAGAGGGTCTGGAACGGAGTGCCAACAGCCTGCAGAACAACATGCCGAAGTTTTATTGTGACTACTGCAATACATACCTCACCCATGACTCTCCATCTGAGAGAAAGACACACTGCAGTGGTAGGAAACACAACGAGAATGTGGAAGACTACTATCAGAAATGGATGGAAGAGCAGGCTCAGAGCCTGACTGACAAAACTACTGCAGCATTTCAGCAAGGAAAGATACCTCCTACTCCATTCTCAGCTCCCCCTCCTGCAGGGGCGATGATCCCACCTCCCCAGAGTCTTCCAGGTCTGTCTCTCCCCGGTATGATGCCAGCACCCCATATGGGGGGCCCTCCCATGATGCCAATGATGGGTCCTCCTCCTCCTGGGATGATGCCAGTGGGACCTGCTCCTGGAATGAGGCCTCCTATGGGAGGGGACATGTCAATGATGCCTGGGCCCCCAATGATGAGACCTCCCACCCGTCCCATGATGGTGCCCACTCGGCCCGGAATGACTCGACCAGACAGATAAGGAGAAAGGGGAGCCTCTTTCTATCAGGCTGTTCTACTCCACAGGAGATCGAGGTGCTGTGACTCTGGGTGCTTTCTAACAGCAGACAAGGAAAATTCACTCCCTCTTCCTAAGAGAGAATAGTTTTTGAGGGGAGTAGTGGGACCAAAAAAAGCAATTTTCATTTGTATTGTGAAATGTGAAAATAAAATTGTCAACTCTTTTCTTAAAAAAAAGGAAGAAAGAAAGAAAGAAAGAAAAAGAAAGAAAGAAAGAAAGAAAGAAAGAAAGAAAGAAAGAAAGTAAGTAAGTCTGTCTTAGAAGAGACATCTGACCTGATTTCCTGGCTACCCTGGTAGCTCATTTTGGTAGTGGAACTATATCCCCTAAACAGATAGTACCCCCTTGTTATAGGTATTTGCTCCACAGAGTTACTGCTTCCTCTTTAAATACACTGAAGGATTAAGCCAATGCTGATTCTGTGTCCTAAATTGTTACATTTTTAGGTCTGCATCATTGAAAATGAACTTCATATTAATGCCAAACCCCGTGCCAGACCATGAGCACCTATATTTAATTTCTTCTCTTTGAATTTTTTTCCTGCCCTTCTATTCTGAAGGGCACTTGTATCCTAGGTTTGCTGACCAGCCTTTACCATACATGCTTGGGTTATGAGATTATGTTATGGCAATTTGGAAGCAGGTTTCCTTTTGTACCCCAAAATATGTCCTAGGGAATCAGACTGAGCAGCAGCTGCTATTAATTAACTTAAATGGCCACTGGTAACTTTGCCTGAACTCATGGGAAATCTAGGGGAGAGAAGAAACCAATCTTTATTGGCACTAGCAATAGCAAACCCAGATTAAATTTGATGTCTAATTTATAAAATATCCATATGTACCTGAGGACTGTTAAATGAGTACTTTGGCTAAGCAAATAATCTGTTTACTGTTCTGGGATGAATTGCTGTGTCTGTGATGTGAATGGACTCTATAGGTAGTCTACTTACAACTACTGCACTATAATTGCAATATATATGTTGTGTGACATAGACATGAGCCAATTCACTGTGCATGGGAATTGTAGTCAGAACAAATTAAGAATTAAATTTTACTTTAAGATTTTCTCCTATAAAAATGTGTAGATAAGTATCTCTCATGTTTAGATAAAAACAACTTCTGTGGTTTCAGATAAAATGTTTGATTTTTAAACAGAGTTCAAATATATGTTACCAATAAAAAGTTACTTTTATGTTGAGTTTTCTGATAATTATTTTAATTTATCCTAATTTATCATCTTGTGGTATTATGCAAAATAGGAATACCTTGTCTAATCTTCCTGTTGAATTCTGGAGCATTCCTTTATATATATATATATATATATATATATACACACACACACACACACACACACACACACACACACACACACGTGTATATATACACACATATATGTATATCCTATATAATAAAGAGGTAATATGCAAATTGAACATCATGCCCTCACAAGATGGCTGCCTATGACCAGGCCGTCAGGGGGGTTAGTGAGGGATGATCAAACAACTGAACAGCAGGCTGTGTGGGGCGACCAGGCTGGTGGGGGTGAGGGAGCAGTTAGGGGAAATCAGGCTGGCAGGCAGAGGCAGTTAGGGGTGATCAGGCTGTCAGGGGAGCCAGTTAGGGGCTATCAGGCAGGCAGGCAGGTGAGCAGTTAGGAGCCAGTGGTCTAGGATTATGAGAGGGATGTAAAACTGCTGGTTTAGGCCCGATCCCACAAGGGCAGTCAGACATCCCCTGAGGGGTTCCAGATTGAAGAGGGTGCAGGCTGGGCTGAGGGACACCCCCTCCAGTGCACTAATATATATATGTACTAGAGGCCTGATGCACAAAATTCGTACAAGGGGCTTGGCCCTCACAGCCCTGGCTTCGTCTGGAAGTCATCCAGAAGGATGTCTGGGTCGGCAGGGGATGGCAATTGGGGGCAATTGGGCTTGCAGGGGAGCAGTTAGGCATGGAACAGATGGTCAATTTGCATATTACCCCTTTATTATATAGGATATATGGCATAAACACATTTATTTACTAACGGAAGGGTCAATGCTAATTAAACCAACAGAAATAGTTGCATGTAAAATGTTTGTGATAACTGAACACAGTAAGGGGGAAAAAAACATGGAGAGATTTGCTTATTGAACTGAGCTTGTTTATCCTCATGGCTAATTCCCGTTCAGAAGGATGATGGCATTTTTACTCCACTTTCTCATAGATCTGAGTATAGTTGACATTGTTCATGATGCATAGCACCACTAACTTCCCGCCTTCCTGCCTCCTGTGATGGTTCCCTCCTTCCCAGCCCACTCCTGGTACTGGACCAGCGCACCCTTGATGAAGTTGCAGACGGTCTGAGTTTTTCTGCCATCAGCTGTAGTCTCTTCAAACTTCTCTCCCAAGTTGCATGAGAACTGTGTTGTCTTCACTGTGCTCTCGGTTTTGATGGTGAGGTTTTTGCCATCGGAAGTGATGACACAGTCTGGTGTGGCCATGGAGCCCATTTTCCACAAAGCCATTCCCATGCCTAATTCCCTCCTGTACTTGTGGGAGCCTTGCTCTCCACTATGCGCCATCTCCCTACCAGCTGCTGAGGCCATGGTGGGCGCAGAGTTGTGCGGGGCCCTGAGTGGAGCAGAGTGCGGTGATGGGAGTGTGGCGGCCTCTGGAGCATTCTTAATGAGGGAGAAGCTATATGCCATGTTTTCACAGGGTGCTCAATAAATATTTATTGACTTAGTTAATGAATTGGAATTAAGCTAAAGAGCAAACCCTTAAGGACTTTTCTAAAATATGCTCTCTATAATTAAGCCTAGATAATGTATAAGAAATAGCCACACTCTTTCTGTTTAACATCTCATAAAAACTTCTCACCCTCCTCCCGCTCTCATTTACCTATCCTAGCATCTTAGTTCAGATGTAATCCTGATTTTTCATTTTCCTGTGCTAGGAAAGCAAGGTGCTTCTCAGTGTTTTTCTACTGTTGTGGAGGCTGTATCACTTCCTAGGACTCGGAAATATGTGTTGCTGTTCATTGGATGTCACAACTTGAGAGGGAGGGACATTATGGAGATTTAGAGCCTGGAACACCAGGAATGCTAAACACCCTCCAACGCAAGGGCCACTCAATGAAAATTTGTCTGACCCCAAATGCCAGTAATGCCAACACAATAATGCCACTCTCATGGACCTTCAAGATGATAATGGAGGCTATTATATTTTATATGTAATGCTTGAAATACTGTTATGAAATAACAATATCTATGGAACACAGGATGCTAAGTTAAAATTAGTACTACTCAGACTAGTTTACCACCCAAATATTTCATTAGCTCAAGTATCTCTTTATGATTACCAAACTCCATTTTATGATTCTGTATATTTTACTGAACTCTTAGAAAACAAATATTTACCACAGAACAGGAGACATAATAAATGACTCTTATGTAAAAGCCCTTTTTCAATAGGAAGGCTTTACTTTTGAGCCTACAGTAGGTTAATAAAAGTCACATCTTCAGAGCGTGTCCTCACGCCCACCTGCAGTAAGGACTCTAAGAAAATCTCAGCTTTCTAACTTCATAAATCCTTTCTGTATTATATGCACACTTAAACTAAATGTCGATTTTAATTAGTCAGACACTTACTACCCCTAGAAACACAGTCTGGGACCCTTTTAAGTTTTGATTATAGTGAAATCTACACAAATCCACTTTAAAATATTTAATGATAAAAAAATCTCCTATTTAAAATCTACTAATTTTGACATTAGTATTTGCTTTGGTGCATGTTTCATTTCTAACCAGAAAAAATAAGTGAAAATCAGCTTTTTTGTTAACTGTACTATTACATTTGCATTTACCTATGAAGAGAAATAACTTACAAAGTCATCACAGGGGTATTGGCCATTCCTTGGGGCCTCTGGATGCGCCCCCTCTTCCTCATCTTTGGTGCATGAAATCTCCTGGAGCTCCAGCATGCTCTGCAGGGCAAAGTGCATGGCATCCTGAAACCCAGAGCAAAGTTACACAGGGGGCAAAGTGCCAAAGTTAGCACAATGACACGCATCCAAACGGGCACTTCATCAGCATCACCCTCCATTCCCACTGAGAGGTAAGAAGGAAGAAAAAAGAATTCATCATGAATTCTCTGTACAATGAGGTTGCCTGTAGCAAACTATTTCCTCACTTCCGTCCATGTTACTTTCTCCTACTGCTCTCGATGACACTCTCTTTTATTAAGAGTCCATCTATTTGTAGTTGTTGTTTATGCTAATCCTCACCTGAGGAAATTTTTCCATTGATTTTTAAAGATTGTGGAAGGGGAGAGGGGTGAGAAAGAGACACATCGATTGGTTGCCTCCTGCATGCTCCCCAACCAGGTACGGGGATGGAACCTGCAACCGAGGTGCATGCCCTTGACTGGAATCAAATTCAGGACCCTTTGGTCTGTGGGCCGATGCTCTATCCACTAAGCCAAACTGGCTAGGGCAAGAGTCCATCTTAAATTCTTTCACTGGCGATTCTTTAGCATTCAGTTCTTATAGATCCCTTATTTTAAAAATCACTCCTCTTTTATGTATCTCTCCCATTTTCCTTCGTGAATTTAATGCTCTCTTTAAGCGAAGACTTTCCTCTATTCCCAAGAGGCATTTACTCCTTGAAATTTACATCTAGGGCAGGGTTCCCAGTGCCCTTTTACAACTAAGCTTTTGGGTTTCGTTTTCCCAAATGGCAGCACTTTAGGAAAAGATGAGCAAACCTAAGTGTAAAATCGGGCTTTGCATTAGTCAATAAATAAGGAAAGAATGTGGCTTGCTGGTTACATAGCATAGAACCTTATCACCAAATCATTGTGCCTGACAATCCTCTGCTGTGATAACTCATCTAAGTGTGCATTTGCCTCTAAAAACTAGAAAATGGGAAGGGGTCCAATGAACTGATATACATGTAATTCTACTAACTCTCTATGCTTCATAGTCATGCCCCTGGTCAGGATGTTGTTAAGGACACTGTATTCTTTATGAGATCCATCAGAACAAACTCCGGCCTGGTCTTCCTATGAATATAATTATCCTGCACTCTAACTGGTTTGTTTAAGTCTGATTCTAATAGTGGACTGGAAATTTCTGGGTTTTGTTGTTGTTGTTTGTTTTTTACTATGGTTGTGTAGGAGTATTTGCATATTTTAATTGGAATTATTTTGTTAGAATTTATGTTCACTTATATTGATTTTCTTTTATCTATGACGACCTACCTACGGTTGAATTTCTTTCAGAGCTGTAAAGGGCGCATTTGAAGCACTGGATGTAAAATACATACAGGCGCTCAGTTTGTTTTAGGATTGTGTGATCACGTGCCTTTTTGGAGGGTCAGCTGCTAGGTAGCAACAGCTAAATGTGAGACCCACCTGTGAGTTTTGTGGGTTTTTGAAATGGCCTTTATATTATGCATTTTTTTACTTTAAAACATCTCTTCTCATTCCATTTTATGTGCCTCTTTGATTTTCTTTCACTTCTGCTCTTAAATTTGCAAATATGTGTTTCTAATCCCCTCCGAGGTTTGCGTGCCCTTGCTGAAAATCAGACTTAAACCAACTAGAGTACAGTCTAGGTATATTCAAGTAGAAAGACCAGTCAGGAGTTTATTTAGTCTAACAAAATAAACAAAGAACATTTGTGCCTTGTCCGAAATTTTGAATTAGCGAGCTCATCTCCAGTGTAAAGAAAGCCTGTTTCTGAATCGCACCATGTGGCAATCATGCGAGCAAACGTCCCACAACCTGGTGATATGGAAGGGGGAAAGATTGGGCAGGTAAGGGAACAGAGAACAAAACCACAGCCTTTCTATTGGCTTCCTTCACCAGCAGTTTGCCGCACCCCAAACTGGATACAGTAGGTGCCATCATATAATGAATGAAGAGTCATAATTACCACGGACATCGGCACCTGCGGGTAGGATCATGGAAGAGTCATGTCTCCCTCACCTGTATGTGTTGAAGACAGAATGAAATGTTCTTCACACAGTGCCTCACGGTCTTTTCTAAAGATCTAAATAGCTTCTCTTCTCTATTAAAGGTGTTGTCTTTCACCTAAAAGATAGATGAAATTATTTATTTTTATAACTCAAATGAATCTGGTGTTTAAAGAAAAACATCACAGGCCGTATTGGCCAGCACATTACCGCAAACTCCCCGCCGAGATGAAAACCTCTGGTAATCTGCCGCCTGCCTTTAACAGCACTCTCTGTGGACGGCACGCGCACAGCTGACGTGCAGCGAAGCCACATGCACAGCTTCATTTGCCGTTCAGTCTTCACACAGCTTTACCTATGTCATAGCAGCGGTAGGAGGTCAAATGTTTCTCTGCTGCTTTTAATGACATGTATTATGTATGGGCCCTCAAATTATATTATATTTGTGAGCTTATAAAATAATAAAAATGAAGTGAGAATTGAAAGTAAAAATTTGATCTCCTGCCTGGAATTTCTTGTTTTGCTGTTATGTATGACTCATTCCAATTTATTTCATGGTGGTCATTTAGAAAATGTTCTTAGGTGCTTGGCTAAAGAAATGTGATAATTCTTTATCGACTCAGATTTGAAAGGTGACATATAATCTTAGCAAAACTAGCCCTCTCTTAAGAAAACTCAGCAGCTAACGCACTGGTCACATGTATTCAGTTATTTTTTGTTATCTTATGTGTTAAGCATTCAGAAAAATATATGTTTTTATATACTCGTAACAGTTTCTAGGAATGCACACTTATTACTGCTCCTAATGGTGAGAAGAGTTTCTGGGCAATCAAATGGCTAGAACCGGCCTCGTGTGGCAAACTCTGTGTGAACAGCAAATGTTTCATAGACTGTGGAGTGTGTTCTTCGGTGTGGTGCTGGCTGACAACCGTAGCTGTCTTCAGTTCATACATTTGTTCATTTAAAATTATTGACCTTAGAACTGAATACACAGAAAATGATGACGTTTTTATTTTTAACCCCCTTAATAATGCTCATCTAAAAAGACTTTTGCTTAAATGGGCGGCATAGTTCTTTGTAATCCACACAAAATTTAACTCTTTGCCTTAGGATTTCTATGCTCTAACCCAACTTAATGCATATAACAATAGGCTGTGGTAGATTGTTTTAAAATGCAGTTTTTAAAAAAACTCATCCCCAGCTATTTTGATCAGTATATCTTGGCTGGTCCCCAGATGGCTTATAAAATAAGAGGCTTAAGGATCACTCTATGAGAAATATGGCCCATTTCTCCTTCCCTGTAGTCAAAACAGGCTGCTTTATTTTGCTGGAATATGCTACTGTCTCTTTTCTGCTGGAAAAATTCTGTTTATTTTTTAAGGACTTGTTCAGTTGTCACCCTTCTATGAATGCTCCCTATCATTCCTACGCTCTCCACTGTAGAAAATGAATGACTCCCTCGTATGTGCTCTCACACAACTAGTCAATTATTTAAGTTGTTCTCTCCAATGATGCATTGCAGGTATTTTGTCTTAATAATAATAACAGCTAACATTTATTAAACACTATGTTCCAGGCACTGTGCTAGACCGTCATCCATTTGCTCACTTTAATTCTTATACTGTACAACTCGAAGGGTAAGTGCCGTGATTACTCCCATTTTGGAAAAGAAACAGGTTTCAGGAGTGGCAGAGATGATTAACGTTTTCCCTGTCATCCACTTACTGATAGAACTGGCACCTTTGCTTTAAGGTAGAGACCGGGCTGTCCTGCCAGTGACTACCCTTCCCAGATTCCCTCGCAGCTGGCTCTGTCCTTGGAACTGGGTTTTTGTAACTAGGACGTGAGCGAAAGTGATGTGTTTCATTTCTGAATCTTGACCTTATAACACCGTCCTTGGGGTTTGAATGAAGACCTGGCTGTGCCCCAGCTTTAACCAGGAAGACGAAGACAATACGTCTAGGAGACAGCAACGCACACAATTGGGGAGAACTGGGTTCTGAAGCATCTCAGGCAGAGGAGCCCGGCTGGGCCCGCACCTCAGGACTGTTACAAGAGGGAGACAAAAATGACGGGCTGACTGAAGCTTATGGTTTGGAATCTCTTGGTGACAGAAGCATGGCCTTTATGCTAACTAACACAGGGAGTTAAAGAAACTTGCAATGTTAATCGGTAGGGCCAGGATTCAAAGCGAAGTGGTCTGAGATCAGAACCTCTTTGTATTCCCAGTCTCTCATACAGAGCCTGGCACCTAAGAGTTCAAAACATGTGTGATGAATTGAATAGAATCTTCCTCTTGGGTAATAGTTTTATATCCTAACTCCACCAAATATTTCCCCGGAGCTGCTGACAAGTGCAAAATGGGCTGATTTGAGATTTATCTCTTCTCCAGTCCAGCCCATGCAGCTGATTTTCTGATTAACAGTAAAATGCTTCATTGCTGACAGGACATCCTCTCAAAAGATTAAGGGGGAAATCTAATTAATATCCCTCCAGGCCACTTTCACGACAAAGCACGCTTAGCTCACGATTGAAAACTATCAGAAGCTGATGATAAATGTGTTAAGGAATATTACAGCTTCTACAAAAGCCTGCCCAGAATGAAGATGGGCCTATTGTTCCTCAGTGGAATTGTCTTAAATCAGAAGCAATGTGTCAAAGGAGGGTTGTTTTCACATATTTCCACACGCCTATGGAGGCTACTGTCTCTTCTTACATGAATTCTCAGTTCAATTTTATGGCTGTTGTCTTTAGTGGTAATGTCTTTTTTTAAATATTCACCCGAGGATATTTTTCCATTGATTTTTTTTAAGAGGGAGTGGAAGGGAGAGAGAGAGAGAAGAGAGACACATCAGTTGGTTGCCTCCCACACATGCCCTGATCAGGGGCCGGGGATCAAGCTTGCAACCAAGCTTGACTGGAATCAAACCCAGGACCCTTCAGTCCATGAGCTGATGCTCTTCTCAATGAGCAAAACCAGCCAGGGTGGCAATGTCTTGATTTTCCTTTCTCTGATCTGTGACCACACACCATAAATGTCCCAAACATCCCATATTATAGCTCCACGTTAAGAGGAGGGGCCTGGAGTTACCTCCTGTATGCAATGGACCCAGTGAGCCCCTGGAAGAATATTAAGATGTAAACAGAAGGTTAAATGAGCCATGTGTTCCCAGAAAGTCCCTATTGGATATGGTATGGGAAAGCCATCGCAGTCAGAGGAGGAAATAAGAACAAGGCTCGGACAAGGTGTATTTACTCACAAGTCCTCAAGAAGGGGTCACCCCATGCCATGCAGGGTCACTAGGCTTGGTTAGGTGGCAGGAAGAAGCAAAGAGAGAGTCTAAGCCAGAGTCTGTATGGAGTATTTGTGGGGAAACCCTACAGACACACTGGGCAGAGTAAACAGTTTAGGATTAACCAGTTTGAATAATTATCCTGGGCTTGGGGCTATCCAGGTTGTCTCTGCTTGCTTGGTACCTGGCCCTGGGATCCAGGGCAGAGGAAGATTGGTGTGTGAATGAGATAGGGAGGTGGTGGGGGCTATGGATTCTGGATTGGCTGGTTTGTGTATGAAAGAAGTGATTCCCACTGAGCCCTTGGCCATCTCTAAAAACAGGCTAGTCCTGGACTGGGCTCGCTCCTCAGACAGCAAGCTTTTAAAAGATGTCACAGCATCATAAAATACAGAAAGTAAAAGACTTGATTAATCCACCAGGCATATGGGGCTTTATATCCATGTGGGAAGTAATAAGTCTGAGCATTAAAAAAGGTAAATAACAATACAAGGTGATGATATAAAATAATGATGATGTTGGTGGTAATGATGATGATGCCAGTATTTACTGAGAGCTTCCCCACTGTGTTAGGTACTTTCTATGCATCATTTCACTGAAGCCTCACAACCACGCCATGTGTTAGGTCCTAGTATAATTCCCCAATTTACAGATGGTTACATTGAATTTCAGTTATTTGCCCAAAGACAAATATTAAAAGACAGAGATAAGGTTCAAACCCAGATATGGACAATTTCAAAGATTTTGCTCTTAATTTCTGCCCTGTGCTACCTCCTGCGATATTGACAGGGCCACAACTGGGATCCACTCAGTGAGTTTGCCAGGTGGTCAGAGGAGGAAGAGGCCACTTCTAGCTCGGTGGTCACAAAGTTAAAGAGACCATGGAGAACGGAAAAAGACCATGGAACACAGCAGCTAGAGAGTGGGTCTGATAAGACGAGCCACCTAAAACCAATGCTGAGCCACCATCCACTTGCCTCTAGGTAAAATTAAAACCTTTAGTTAGAGAGGTTAACATAATAAGAGATGAAATCATGCCAATGAGAAGGAAAATAAAAAGTACTATATAATATCTAAAGAACCTTCCTGCCCACTTTTGGTTAGAAGCCCACTCACTGTATTACCACCTCCAGGCCATGAACTTACTATCTTGCAAATCTTAAAATGTGTCCCATGGATCACATACTTCAGAGTTATTTAGTTTCAAAACACTTGGAGTCTCTGTAAAAATACAGACTTATAGGTTGTACCCTTGAACCAGAGAGAGAAAGAGAGAAGGAGAGAGAGAGAGGAGCAGGTGGAGCCCTGGAATCTTGGAGCAAGCTCTCCAGTTCATTTTATGCACATTAATGTTTGACAGCCTTTGCTGCTTCATCTATTATGTATTAGGGGTCGAGATGAACAAGGTTCAAGTCAGGCTAAACAGCTGACACAAAACTATAACCTACTAATATAGAATGTGCACCTGGGAGTGGGGAGGGAAAGAGGAAGGAAATAAGTGGCAGGGAAAACATGCACTAATGCGTGCACCGGAACACTTTTTACTCCAGGTGAAATGAAGGTCAAATGAATATCAAGGGAGCCCCAGAGGCAAGTGAGGTTTTTAAAAAGCAGAAATAAGACAGGGATGAAAGGAGGGCATTGCCTTGGGTGAGAGTATGTGCTGGGTGATGGTGAGGGTCAGGACTCCTGGGCAGCCCTGGTTGAGCTCTGTCTGTATGGCCTTATCTCTGCTTTGCCTGCTTCTGAGTGGAAGTGCCACAGCTAGGATAGTGTCAAACCTACCCTCACTCCATTTCCAGAGGGAAAGAGGGAGGGAGGGAAGGAGGGAGGGAGGGAGAGGAAGAGAGAGAGAGAGAGAGAGAGAGAGAGAGAGAGAGAGAGAGAGAGAGAATGAGAGAGAGAATGAGGGGGGGGGAGAGGAGAGAGAGAGAGGAACAGCATAACAACCTTGGGCAATTACCTTGATTCTCAGTGTTCTAGAAACAGTTTTGTACCAACAAGACAAAACCTCACAAAAACACCAGCGTTCATGTTCTCAGGAAAATGTATGTGGCCCAAGAAGAAAAATTACCTGTGATTCTCCTCTGGTCAGAATCTTGAGATAATTTGTCACTCTCTTTGATTTCTTGCTAATTGAGTGAATATTTAGTTTTGACAATTTATCTTTAAGTGATTCATCTTCATCATTCTTCTTGTATTTTAGAACTAAAACAAAAGAATGCAGTGACACATCTGGGCCTGTGCAGCATAGAAAGTGTGTTTTTACCCAAGTATTCAAGATCAACATTTATATTTAAGATACAAATCCACATGATTGTTGGTTCTCTGCAGCAGATGCCATATGCTCCAGCCCCACTGCCCAATCATAAGTCCAGCCGCCCACTTCCTCATCCTTCAAAACTGCTGTCCGAGGTTGTGAGCCTCAAAGCTCCAGGTTCACTTACCTCCCACATTAAAAGTATCCCAGATACTGAAATAAAGCTCTTCCCCTCTTCTCAGATAATACATTCACTCTCTGCGATCTCTACAAAGAAACATCAAGGCCTAACTAATGAAAAGACATCCAACCTCAGGAGTCCTCAGATCCTAGAGAGGCTTGCTACTAGCAGACAGTTTTGGGATAAATTGAGTCACCTCTCTGAGCTTTACTTTTTTTATTTTATTGATATTTTTAGAGAGAGAGGAAGAGGGGATAGAAAGAGAGGGGGGAGAGAGAGAAACGTTGTTCAGTTGCCTCCTGTATGAACCCTGAACCGGGGTAGAACCAGAAACCTAGGTATGTACCCTGACTGGGAATTGAACCCAAAACCATTTGTTATACTGGCAGATGATGCTCCAACCAACTGAGCTACAGGCCAGGGCGGAGCTTTACTTTTTTAAAAATAATAATAATATATATTTTTATTGATTTAAAGAGTAAGGGAGAAGGAGAGAGAGAGAGATAGAAACATCAATGATGAGAGAGAATCATTGATCAGCTGCCTCTTACACAGTCCCATCCACGCCGCCCCCCCCCCCCCACCGCTCCCCCCTCCGACTGGGGAACAAACCTGCAACCCCGGGCATGTGCCCTGACCAGGAATCGAACTGTGACCTCCTGGTTCACAGGTAGACACTCAAACACCGAGCCATGCCGGCCGGGCTGAGTTTTACTTTTTTATCTTTAAAATCATTTTACTTCTCATACTGTTCAAATGCTAAGTATTTCTAATATTTCTTTTTGGTAAGGGTGTGGAGAGATGGGCAATCTCATAGACTGGTGATGAGGATTAAACTAACACAGTTTCAGTACAGAACAATTTGACAGAATCTTACAAAAATTAAAATATTCATAGTCTATAGCCAGGAAGTCCATGCTCTTCATAAGCATACAAAGTTTGGTTTGCTACAGCAATTTTTTCTAGTAGCAGAACGTTTGAAACAATCTAAAAGTTTATCTAAGACCTCGAGGAATCGTTTAATAAATTATGACATGCTCATAAATGGAGTACTATGGAACCATTAAAAAGAAGGCCACATTAACTGGAAGAATGTTCACGAAATATGATTACATTTTTTAAGAGCCCAGCAAACTGTGGTATCATACATGTTACATGAAGGAAAGAAGGAGAAGACAGAGAGAGAGAGTGAGAAAGAAGAAAGAGAATAGAAAAAAAGACAGAAAGTCTGAAGAAAACTTGAATAAAAACTATGCAAATTAGAATCATGGGAGAGGAAAACCTTTTCCCTTTAAAACTTCAGAATATTTTAAGCAAACACAAAAGTGAAAATAATAATACAACAGCTATTATCTGTCTCCTAGTTTTGTCAAATCTTAACTTTGCCTTGTTTCCAATCTTTTAATTAAAAAAGAAATTACATAACAGGTGAAGTTTCTCTGAGCCCCATCTTTCATCCCTGCAGGAATTGTGATCTTTAAGAATGGCTTTATTGCCCTAGCTGGTTTGGCTCTGTGGATAGAGCGTTGGCTTGTGGACTGAAGGGTCCCGGGTTCAATTCTGGTCAAGGGCACATGCCCAGGTTGCGGGCTCGATCCCCATTGGGGCAGAAGGCAGCAGATCAGTGATTCTCTCTCATCATTGATGTTTCTCTCATTCTCTCTCTCTCTCTCTTCCCCTTTCTCTCTGAAATCAATAAAAATATATTTTAAAAAGATAATGGGTTTATTATATCTGTATCCATTTTTATGCCTTTATTGTGTGTTTTTAGTCATACAATTCATAATATTCTTTTGAATGTCAATCTTTATTAAAATGGTACCAAATTGCATATATTCTTCTGTCACTTGATACTTTATTTTTAAAAATAGCATTTTTTATTTATCCAATTGATGAATATACCCCAGTTAATTTTTATAATTGTTATGTTCTCATGATATCACAGTGTATTACACAGTTTATCCATGATCTGAATGAATGTGTAAGCCGTTTTCTTCTCTTTTTTATTTATTTGCTGTTATGAACAATGCTCGTTACTTATAGGCAGGAGTTTCTCAAACATATAAACATTGATTTTCTGGGTCTTGGGTCTGTGACTCTTCAACTTCACTAGAAATCATCAAATTGTCCTCCAAAGGGGTGATTCCAATTTACATTCTCACCTGCAGACTGAAACTCAGCACTTAACATTATCCATTAAAAATCTTTTTGCCAATAGTACAGGCTGGGAATGATATGTCATGATTTTAATTTGCATTTCCCTGATTATTGGTGAAGCTTAGCATTTAAAAATGTATTGGTCTTTCTGCCCTGGCCGGTGTTGCTCACTGGTTGAAGTGTCAGCTTGCAACACTGAAAGGTCACAGATTCAATTACAGGTCAAGGACACATACCTGAGTTGCAGGTTCGATCCCCTGTCTGGTGGGGGGCTTGTGTGGGAGGAAACTAATCGATGCGAGAGAGATACATGTGAGAGGGATGTATCTCTCTCACATCGATGTTTCTCTCTCTCTCCCCCCTCCCACCCTCCCTTCCAATCTATCTAAAAATCAATAGAAAAAATATCCTTGGGTGAGGATTAGCACTAACACAAAAAATACACACAAAAAACTTTATTGGTCTTTCTGTAAAATGCTTATTTTTATTATTAACTTTTTATTATATTTTATTATTGATTTAATATCAATAATTACATATTCTAGATAGTAATCCTGTGTCTATGGGCTGTCTTTTCATTGTGTTTATGGTGTCTTTTTCTTTGCAACTTTCACTTTTTACTCTGTGCCCTTCTTTATCATTTATTAATACAAATAACACTTTTTAAAAAAATATATTTTTATTGATTCCAGAGAGGAAGGGAGAGGGAGAGAGAGATGGAAACATCAATGATGAGAGAGAATCATTGATCGGCTGCCTCCTGCACATCCCCCACCGGGGGGATCGAGCCCACAACCTGGGCATGTGCCCTTGACTGGAATCGAACATGGGACCCTTCAGTCCACAGGCTGACACTCTATCCACTAAGCCAAACCAGCTAGGGCCCACTTTTTAAATTTATTAATACAAATAAATTAATTTATTACAAATACATGCCACATTTTGAATTATTAATAAAAATACATACCACTTTTTGAATTAAAAAATTAGAAAATAAAATAATAAAAATAAATGAAGTGGTTGGATTAGTTGGCCCAGAAGTCCTACCATTATTTTAATATTGAAGTAAGATTTGATTTAAAAGTACAAAGCCAAAAAAAAAAAAAAAAAAAAAAAAAAAAAAAAAGGCCAAAAGCTTAAGGGAACAAATCCCACTGAGAGAGGACCCACGGTCTATCCCAATGCACTCCTACAGGCCCGTGTAGTTGTGCCTCCTGTTTTGAAATCTACATTCTAGGTTAGACACCAATTTTACATCTCAGCTAACAAAGAATTAACAATACTTTGTTGATTTGAGAACGAAATACACTTGCTCCCTTCAGTGGAACCATTATTGCCCTCCAAATCTCCCTTCTTTGTGTGCCAGAACCAGGTGAGCTGAAGTGTTAGCTGGGCCCCCTCGCCTGGATCTGCACCTTTCACCACCGATTGTTGGCCCTAGCTTCTCACTGCTCCAGCTACCCAGCCTTGCCATGTCTCCTCACCACACACACTGCCAGAGACGGCAGGGCTAGAGGCTCTGGGTGTCTTCAGCCCACAGCATGTCACCAGGCATGCAATGGTCACAAGAGGTTAAGTACAGGGCTGTTGGATTTTTTAAAAATACGTTTTAATTGATTTCAGAGAGGAAGTGAGAGAAAGATAGAAACATCAATGGTGAGAGAGAATCATTGATTGGCTGCTCCCTGCACACCCCCAACTGGGGATCAAGCCTGCAACTCAGGCATGTGCTCTGACCAGGAATCAAACCAGGGACCTCATGGTTCATAGGTCGACGCTCAACTACTGAGCCACACCTGCTGGGCTGATTTTTTTTTTTAATGGTCATTTTTGTGCCTTATAATCTTCTCCTGAACCCAGCTGGCAGGGCAAAGCCACACTTTCTTCATGATCACTACAGCTGCTCTAACGGCTCAGACATGCTGATTCTCAGAAACAGAAACAGAGCACGCCCGTCGTGGAGAGCACCCGATTCATCGTGTGTCTTCTTACCTAAATCTTTCCGTCTTTTCAGTTCATTGATGTTTACATTGATGTCTTTCACAGCAGCACAGGCGTCCTCCAGGGCCCTGAAGTCTGGGTGAGAGGGAGGGGTAGAATTGCGAAGTTCGCACAGTAATAGGGGGTATTTCGTCACACGCTGGATTGGTTTGATCAACAAGGAGCTCATGTTAGTTAGGTTCGGTTTGCCTCTACAATAGAGATAAATAATGTCAGTGTTGTGAACATTCGTTTTATTATCTCATTTTAAGGTTTGTGATTTTTGTAATGTTTAATCCTGAAACTGTTTTTCCTCCCCACGCCGTCCATTTGACTATGTACAGTTTCTAAGTGAAAGCAAGAACAGTGGGTGACTGAAAGATCCTGCTACCAAACAAAAACCTAAAAAAAAACCACACACAAAAAAAACGCAAAAACGCCCACATAACAAAACAAAACCTGAGTATATCTTTCCATCAAAAAGGATTCAAAACATCATTTCCATCCATGTCCCATTTACAGGTTTTTGTTAATAACAGGCTTTATGATAATAGTGGTAAGAAACAATGTCAGAATGCATTTTTCCATGACAACCAAGAAAAAAAATTCTTTTACCAATGGTATTTTTTTGATTATTAGTAAGGAAAATAAACTTATTATTTAAAAATCTAAACAGATGACTTGCCAACTATAGTCAAAAGAAAGCACGGTCTTCTCCCTTCTACCAAATTGAGAAGTTGCCTTTATATTGGGTCAGAGCTTCTATCAGTCCCCAAAGGAGATTTATAAGAAATGCAATAGTTCTCCAAATACTGTTAATAGCATCACTATCACTAATCATTGCGGTCCTACAATGACGTGCTGTGTGGAATTGTTCTTAGCCAGCAAGTCTTCAAATGGCTACACAAAAGTGAACCCTCATGCCTGCCTACAAGCTTGGTCATGTCATTGTCCAAGCCACCGTCATCATTTTTTTCAGCCAGAATGTAGCAGTTTCTAAAAACCTCTGTGCAAAGAGGCAAGTATAAAGCATTGTAAATGAAACATGGATGAAAGTCGTCCTTTGAGTCCCTTCTGGTGGACAGAGATATTTGCTTGCCTTCCTTTTTGTTTTTATTTAGTAGAGAATACAGACACTGTTTTCAAGTACTGATAGGGGGATTTTCCATTCTTCAATTATTATTTTTAAGTACTAATATGGATAGACAACAGGCCACATGTTTGGAATAATGAAAAAATCTAAAAAAACACTGAACAAAATTAGAAAAGTTGCATGTTAAGAAAAGATCTGAAGTCACCTTAGATACCATCTAATCGAACTCTTCATTTGAATAATGAGAAACAAAGGAACTTTGATTGTCATGTGTATGTGCATACATGTGAGTGCGCTCACACCCCCCCCACACACACACACACTAGTCACTATCAAATCTTCCATCTTCTTTCTCTATTTGGTAGTTTGTGCTCAGTTTCTCTGTCACCATGTATCTCCAGCATGATATATAGTGTTCTCTCAATGAATATTTGTAGACTGAGTGACAGATTTCTCAGATTTTTGTAATGTGCTTTTATTTTACATTGAACTTATTTTCCCTCCCAAAATTTCCAGTGGTCCTAATAACTGAGGAATGTTGTTCACATACTGAGCAAATGATGATACCATGATAGAAACAAAAACTGAAGCAGACCAAAAAGTAGCTTTTTTTTTTTTTTTTTCCAGGAAGACCAAAGTAAAAAAGCTTTTCAAGGGAGTAAAGCATTGCTTTACATGACTTATCTTGTTCTTTCTACCCATTAGCACCAAATCTATTAAGGATATGAGGTAAGGATATGGGGTAGCAAAAAAGAAATGAGGGGGAGAGGGAGAGAGATCTTATTGGTTTCCAAGAGAAGTAGGTGAAGCAGATGGAAGAAAATATAAATAATTAATAAGTAAAATCATATTTTCTAACTGATGCTGTATCAGTAGCTGAACCTTTGCATATGAAGTACACATTTTCTCACATTTCTTAAGCAAAGATGCTTTAACAATACAACAATTTAGAGACTTAATAGACTTACAATTCCCTTAAGTAAGAACAAGTCAGAAATATAGAAGGTGTTAACTAGAAAAAAAAACCATATATCTATATAAATATGATCAGAATTTCTTCTGAGCTTTTCAACCATCACCAAATATTAGTTTATTTAACCTGCTAAAAATCACTGAAATACCATCAAAATATAAATATAGTCAACAATTCAATAAGAAAACTCAGTTTTAATAAGATAGTTTATCAGTGTGGTCCATTGTTATATATATTTTTTTTATTTTTAAAATCCCCAAATATATTAAAGCATGCCCTTGTTTCTTTGAGCTTCCCTTCCTTCTTTATTAAGATCTGTCAAAAAAACCAAAGTAGGCCCTTTGGTTGTGTCCAGATCTTATCACTACTTCTTTTCCCATCACTCTTTGGCATCAATGTTCTATTGTCTCCCTTTTATGTTTCCAATGACAATAATAACAATGATAAATGATTATTGTTTCTCTTAAAAGCATCACAAATGCAAATATTAAAAAGGCTCTCTCGAAAACAAGAGCCCTCTTTTGTCCTCAGACTTGCACTTTGGACAGTTGCCCAAGTGATGAGCAATGATGTTCTGATACCCGCATCACACAGACAAGCAATGAGGTTAAGAAAATAGACAATGTGTTAAGATAATGACACTCCAGGCATTCAGTGCCACAAAGCTCACCCATCTAAACCCTCCCCAATAAAATTAAGTTCTGATAACTTTGAGGCAGTGCATCCTATGTGTGACACCACCCAGCTCAGTCAAGCAGCCAATTACCACATACCTCTCCCCAGAAAATAGCTGCATGTAATAATTCCTCCGATATATTGAGCTGAAAACTAAGGTGGTTACTAATTTGTAATTCTGTTTCATCTTTCTCCCTCGTATCATAAATACTTTGGCAAGTATTTGGTACCATAAATAGCTACACTAATCTCATTAGAAATTATTATTGGGACTTTACAAAATCAAGTAAACACAGCTGGCTTTGCTTTCTTTTAGCAACATCCAGTTTTGCTATAAAGAGCTTCACATCAAATACAAGAAAATAGTTCCACAATGAAAATAAAAATGAGATTTAAACAATGTAAAAACTATGATGGGAAACAACACTGAGGCACACCGATATTTCTTAATTAGAGGGAGAAAATGAGAGAAAGGAAAAATAATCATCTAACTATTGATCATATTAGTTTGAATTTCCTCTATTTTATGACCATAAGTATCCAAAATTTAATATTTAATTTACAGTAGCCACAAACCAACTACATTAGGATTGATTTTTTTCAATGTACAGTATTCTCCCTTTAAAACATATTAAGTCAATTTCAGAGGAAACTGTATATTGCTACTAATAACAAGCAAATAACATTTGCCATAAATTAAAAATAGTTGTGAAAATACAGAACTATCAATACATTTTAGAAGATGTAAAGAAGATGAATGAATGATAAATTGATATAGCAGACCAGAGAACCAGATATTTGGATAGGTAATAATTTAATTATTCTTCCAAAAGTTCATTAATTAGAGTTCCTGAGAACCTATGGTAGTAGATAGAGAGGGAGATGGGGATTAGGATAAGAAGGGACTAGTTGAAAATCTGTTTAAGAAACAACCTTTTTTTAGGATGCCATACAAATAAAGGGGATCATCTGGAGGATTAAGAAAGACCTGTTGGAAATTAAAAGATAATAGCAGAAATAAAAACTCACATTGTTGGAAAAAAATATTCAGGAACTTTCCAGATAGAAGAACAAAAACACAAAGGGGTTGAGAATAAAAGAAAAATACAGAAAATTAGAGGACTGTTTTAGGAGGGCCAATATCAAAATAATAAGAGGGCCAGGAAAAGAGAGTAGAGCTCATATGGGGAGGAAATAATCAGTGAAGTAACTTGAGGAAAGGACATGAGATAGCAGGTTGAAAGTCCTCACTGAGTATCCAGAACAATGGATGAAATGGACTCACACCTTGGAATTCATGAAACTTCAGGCTTTTGGGGACAAAGAGAAGATCCCACAATCCTTCAGAGAAACATATAAACAAACAGGTATAAACAAATGATTAGGAATCCAAAAAAGCTTCTGATTTCTTATAACAACACCGAAAACTAGAAAACAATGAGAAATTACCATTAAAATTTAAAGATGAATGATATTCAACTTGGAATTTTCTATTGTTTAGAATTCAATAGTTTAGTATTCAAACTATAAATTAAGAGTGAGGATAAAATAAAGATATTTTGGATATAAAAGTTTCCAAAATTTTACTTCACATTCATTCTTTGATGAATAGAAGAAACTATTGAAGGACATCCTCTACAAAAACAGGAGAGAGGCAAAGAGAATTTCTGGGATGATGGGAGGGGAATTCCTGAAAGACAAGTGTGCCCAGCATCACTAGTCCAAACCAACAGGCCAGAGGCTCTGGGAGAAGCTCCCTGAGGGAGGTGAAGGTAATAGTATACATAATGTATTTGGGTGTCTTGAAATATGACTGGTGTGAGTTTGGCATTAATGATTAGCAGAAAAAAAAACTAAGAGGGGTAAAAACAATAGTGAACTCACAGAAAGACAAGTAATCATTTATTCCAAGGTTTAGCTTTGAAAAGAAACTTATTCAGATATTCTCAGATACAATAATTCAAACACTGATTAGTCCTCTACTCCAAATTATAATGTAACTACATAAGGAGAATGGAGAGGTGGGAAGAATGTGCGAGTGTGTGTGTGTGTGTGTGTGTGTGTGTGTGTGTGTGTGTGTGTGTAGGAGATGGGGTAGAAAAGAGAGAAAAGTTAGTCTTCTACAGGGAAAAGTCAATACTTAATACTCAAATAGGTGAAACCAAACATGTTTTCAGAGTCAGGAAAATAAATTCCAAAAGAGTCATCTAAAAGATGTGCTCCCATGAAGAGCATTAGCAGCAGGAGGGAAGTTGACTACTATTTTTCTTAAATTCTAACTTTTTAAGCCATGGTACATATAATTTTAACAAAAGAGAAATTTTTTAAAGAAAGAAACATGCATGACTATCCAAGAAATTCTGAAATAAAGAGCGCTGAGCTGGATAAGGTAGAGCTGGTATTAAAACATAAAGCGCCCTAACCAGTATGGCTCAGTGGCAGCGTCGACCTGCAGACTCAAGGTTCCTAGGTTTGATTCTGGTCAAAGGCATGTACTTTGGTTGCAGGCACATACCCGGTAGGGACTGTGCAGGAGGCAACTGATCAATGTTTCTCTCTCATCGAGGTTTCTAACTCTCTATCCCTCTCCCTTCCTCTCTGTAAAAAAAAAAAAAAAAAAAAAAAAAAATCAATAAAATATATATTTTTAAAAAAACATAAAGCTGCAAAAACGAAAGCAGTTTGCTATGGGTACATCCATGGACAGATGATTAGCACAAAGCAGAAAAATCAAGAAATATATACAGGTCTGTATGGAAATATGTACATGGTAACTGTGACATTCCTGCTCAGTAGAAAAATTAACTATTCAATATCAGGTTTTGTAATAATTAGATAGCTACATAGAAAAAATAATAAAAATAAATTCTTTACATCAAAATAATTTATAGCTAGGTTGAAGATTTAAATGTTAAAAAATGAAACGCTTCAATAATTTGAAGAAATCATAGGATTACACTTTGAAAACATTCTTGGAGTTTCTAAGTAAGACACAAGATCCAAAAACCACAGTAGAAGAAGTGATAAATCTTTTTAAAAATTTACTCTATAAAACTGTACAGATAAAAACAAAACAGAATAAGCCATAAACTATGTTAAAAGTCAAATGATAAGCTGGAAAAATATTTATAGCACATAAGACAAAAAGGGGTTAATACATTCACTAATTAAAGAACCATTATCAATCTATTAGAAAAAGATGAACATCTCAATAAAAGTGAACAATCAATAAAAAGAATTCATTAGATGAGAATGAAAATGATTAGCATCCATGAAAATGCTAAAGATCAATATTAATGAAAATTAAAGCAACATATTACTATTTTTGGTCTATTACATTGCCAGGTGTTGCAAGGATACAAATATTAATTATATCTAGGGCTGGCAAGTAGCAGATAAATGGACAACTCACATGTGGGCAGTGGGAATATAAATTAGTTCAACTTTTCTGAGATTCTCTGGTAATAAGAATCAAATGCCGTTTGGCCTAGTAATCCCACCTTTAGAAATTCAACTAAGAAAATAATCAAATTATTGTACAGAGATCATGTGTAAGAATGAACACAGAACATCAATCTTTACAGGACAGATAGACACAATTCAAGTATCTATAAGGTTTTGGTAAACTAAGTTGTGGTCTATACATCAGATAGACTATTGTGTAGTCATAAAGTGATGGGGGTTTATGTTTACTACATAGAAAGATGTCTGGGATGTATTGATGAATGAGGTAGCAAGTTGACGTACAAAAATACATACCATGGTACATAGGTGTCCTATTTTAGCTAATATGTGTGTATGTAGATAAAAATATTGCGGTAAAGTCAGAAAATTCACATTGTAGCAATGTTACAATAGTTAACTCTGGAATGTGACCACCCATTGTCTTTACTGCCCTCATTTTAATTTTCTTTATTTTGCAGTGTTTCTTTAATAATTGTAAAAACACAAAGCTCAAGAAAAGAGAAAATAACTTACAACATGCTGAGATAAATAAAAGCCCTGAGATCCAAAGGCTGGAATAGCTGGTCAGACAGAGCACACATACAGAGAAGTGTAAAACATGGAAATCCAACCCTGCGTCTCTGGAGAAGAGATGTAGAAGAGGCATGTTTTTCTTGCTTTAGAACAGCAGACTGTATCAGATGCTTTTTAGGGAGGGTGACTTTTTGGTTGGAGAATCTTTGATTCTTGCCACTTTGATTCTTTGATGTTTGCATAAGATTGTAATCCAAAGTAATTGCTTTAGAAGTTATAATATCTTTGCCTTTCTCGGTACTTTTAAAAATGTAGATTTTAAAAATCCAGAAAATTTTCAGTTTCTATAAGGGATTGTTTTTTAAACCATTAAAAAACCCCACCCTTGCCCTGCCGGCATGGCTCAGTGGTTGAGCATTGACCTAAGAACCAGGAGGTCCCGGTTTGATTCCCGGTCAGGGCACATGCCCGGGTTGCTGACTCGATCCTCAGTGGGGGGCGTGCAGGAGGCAGCGGATCAATGATTCTCTCATCTTTGATGTTTCTATCTCTCTCTTCCTCTCCCTTTCTCTCTGAAATAAATTTTATATATATTATTTAAAACAAACCCACCCCTCCTAAATGCACTCTGGGCTGCAACCTTCCTGGCCTCAGCTGCGAAGGGCCTGAGCAATTACACAGCACTTGACGCGGCCTTTTACCATTTCATGTTGCAGCTTGTGTGCCTCCTGACCCGTGAGAGAAACAAGAAGGAAGACAGGGCAGACATGGCTTTGATGTTCACCCAGCCACACACTGTGAATACGCTGCCTCTTTTTCAGTTCTTGATGTACAGAATAGGCAAGAGGGGCCACACACAGCCCGAGAACTCCCACACCACAGGGGTGACGCAGAAGCTAGTGCAATTTTTTAAGCAAGTGTTTCAATACAATGTACTATTTGTTATAGGTTTTCTGTATGGAGCAGCCTATGCCGGCGAACTGTATTTAAATAAGTTAATCTCCCACTGTCCTCCTCTGAATTTCTCTCTCTCTCTCTCTCTCTCTCTCTCTCTATCTCTCTCTCTCTCCCTCTCTCGGTCTTTTGCTTAAAAACATCTAAGCTTTAGGAAAAGAAATCTAAGCAGAATCTGCAGCATATTACATGCTGTACTCATCCAGCTTGGTGACTCTCCACTCCTAGGTACCATGATGCCAGGGGCATAGATTTCATAATGAGATACCATTCCCTACCCTGCCCCCATCCTCATCAACTATCATTGCAGAGAAGCCAGGAAGGCCCTGGTGTGTGGATGGACCAAAAAGCAAAAAGCCCTCTTGTCCTCTTACCCACATCTTCAAATTCAAGTGACTTGGGAACTCATTGAACAAACCTACTCATATCTGTTTATACTATAGGGGTTTTTTTTCCTTTGATGAAAAAACATATAAAGGGAGAGACCTGGGTGCTTGTTTGGTATGTCAAAAACTAACTTCTCAGCCTGGTTGAGAAGGTCTCCTGGATGATGCCTGATGCCTAATTCTTCCACTCACTCTGGAATTCTGTCTTTTGTCATGGTTGTTCTGCACCAAAGCATGAATGACAGGTATTTACAGGTTAAATTAATACAATTTTTACTTTGTAAATTTTGTATTTTATCGATGTAAAGTTTCCAGAGTAGAATTGAGAGAGAGACAGACAGACAGACAGACAGACAGACAGGGAGAGAGAGAGAGAGAGAGAGAGAGAGAGAGAGAGAGAGAGAGAGAGAGACTAGGAACTCAGGACCTTCATAGTTGCTGACCACACTAAGCCAAGCATGTGCTTTTTCAAGTCCTATAAATTTGAGCTTGTATGTATGTCAACATCAGTCAACATCATCCTTTCAGTATTAGGCTAAATGTGCTTTTCTTATATAAAAATGGGCATCTTGCAAAGTGTGCGTGCGTGTGTGTGTGTGTGTGTGTTGTTTTTATAAGGTAATTTATACACTGTCCGGGTGACCAACTGTTTCATCTTAATATTTCATTCTCATGCTATATATGTGGGTATGATTTTTTTCTTTATAAATAAATCATATGAGAGTCCAATGAGAAGAAACACAATATTTTGCTATAATGCATAAGGAGTCTTTTCTTTTGTCCATTAATCAATGGAAACTTCAAAAACCTTATGGTATTAACCTGAGATTTTTTTTTTTAAAGACTATTGTTGCAGTCAGGAAAAAGAGTTTTGAATACATTAAGATTCCTAAACATATCTGTGATGAGCAGTTCCTGAAGAGTTCCTGGCACCAGCAAACATGTGATTTAAGTGAATTATATCCCAGGATTCTTCTAAAAGTTAAGGAAAGTACATGTAATAAGAATTTAATATATAAGATTCATCTCAGACAAATTAGAAATAAGTGCTCTTCAAAGTCTTGATTTATTTATTAAAAGCAAAAACATAATTGTAAAAACTAAAATGTCTGATTTGTTCAGAAATATTAACAGCTTTTCCTCGTGATTTTTACATTTGATTTTTATTATTAAGATAAAAATACTTACTCTTGACTGTATATGTTCCTGTAAGAGAAGAGAAAAAAGTAAACTCATGTAAATCCATATATGTGAGGTAATATACAAGCATTGTAAAAATTTTTTAATTTTATTACATAAAATAAAGCAATAAGTCATTTTCATGAATGTTTTATAGAATTGGTCTCATTGTTTTATAATCAGGTCACTTAAACTTTATTTTAGTATATTTATTTTTGCTTTACTCCTTATAGTATAAGGTTAAAAACCATTGATACAGATTAGTTAGTAAATTTTCATCATTTGAAAATGGATTTAAAGATCAATTTTTGTTTACATTATAAAAAAGAATCTATTAAAGATAATAAGAAAAACAGATTACAAGGGAAGGTGATTGACTTGCAGAAAACCATACATTCTGTAACATCTTTGTATGTAGTATGATACAGATTAAAAACATTATAACTTTCAATGAGGGAATTCCACAAAACCTTTCACAAGGCGTTGCTAGCTTTTGTGGCTTCCATTTTGCTCAAGTAAAGCTCACATCCTTCCCAGGCAATGTCCTCTGCCTCTCCTCCATCTCTTCTCTACCTCCTTTCCTGTTGATCCTCGCCTTTCACATCTGCAGCAACCATACAGGCCTCCTGCTCTTTCTGAAGCTGGAAGACCTGCTCCTGCCTGCAGGCCTTCGCAGCGCTGCCTGCTCTTCCTCCAGATACAGCTCACTCCTCATCGCAGTCAGCTCTCCGCTCAAATGCTCCTTCCCAGTGAAGCCTTCCCTGACCAATCCTACCCCCTCACCGAACTCTTCATCCTCACCTTCTGCTTTATTTATCTCCCTTGTGCTTTGCCACTTTCTAATATAGCATATCCTTCTTCAGTTTACTGTCTTTCTCTCTCCACTCCCCACTCCCAACGAAGCAAGGATTTATGCTTGCTTTGCTCTCGGCTGTAGCCCCAGGACCTGAAAGAGTGGCTGGCACATGGCAGGAGGGCAAAACATATTTGTCAAAGTAATTAATTAACAATAAAAAAGTGGGAATCATTCCTGTTCAAATTTCCAGAATAAGAGTTTTTCTCTAAAAGCCTCATGGCTCTAGAGAAGTAATGACCGGTATTAATAACGTGATCCCCTTGCTCTCTGGTTTCCAGGCTTTTGGAATACAGTAAATGTTTTCGATATAGAACACATTTTAAACCCATCCCTTAACTGTAGATGGTCTTTTCACATTCAGTGATTGAGAAAAATTCAATGATAAATCCCTATGCTGAGCTCAGTAACTTTGAGGAACCTTTTTACTTCCATGAAGAATTGCACCCCCACTACCCCTTGCCCAATGTTCCCTCCCATTCACTGCCTTTAAGCTCACATTCTTCCTCCAATTTCTCTCCCTTTCTAACGAGGAATTTTTGTTTTTCCAGTATGCGCTGTGGACCATACATTAGAAAGTTTGAGAGTGCAGTTGAATAAAAACAAAAATCCATTTTTTTATGGAAACAAACAAGTGAGCAAGGTGATCATTTGGGAACCAAAACACATACTTTGAAGTTGAAAGAAAAGATTGTTTTTCCCCCCCTAGAGACAACATGGAAAATTGTTCTCCTATTTTATTTATTTCAAATAAAACTTAAATATCATAACATAAGTTAAATGCTATGTTTAATGTAAGTGTAACATTTTATGAAAAGGAACCTGAGAGATCTTCAACATATTATCCCTGTTGGTGTAGTGACATAATGGCCCTACGTTATTACATCTTTTTATTTGCTCTCTCTCTCTTTTTTTTCCTAAATCTCTCTTTTAGGATAAAAGTTTCCTAGAAGTTAACCCCAGCCAAGGACAATTCAGGAGAAAGTTAAATCGTTTACCCCTTGTTGGGATAAAATAACTCAATATGTCTACTGCCACACCTCCTATCCTCATGGGTTTATTATAATTTGAGTCACAATTAACAGAAGTTTTTATGTGACTATTCCTTACAGATTAGTCTTTCATTAGTTCAATCATGATGGCATATAACAATAAAATGAAGGAATTTCCAAAAGTGCTTTTAATTTTTATGTGGAACATTCCCTTAGCATAATACTAAGAAATACAAAGTGTGGTAAACAGATTGAAAGCTATTCCTTTGGAGTTCGCCTTGCATGAACTTTTAGCTTCCTCCCCGAATGGAGAAGTTCCTGTTGGAATATGAGCAGCCAAAGGATGTATACTAAACATGCAGACTCCTAACTTACTCAAATGACTGTAAGTTAGAAGTTTTCCTTCTACGAATGATGGACTTAGGAAGATACATTCATAACTAGAGGTGAAGCTAGAAATGTGTCTTCAGCTACTAAAAATTTTTTGGGAAAAACCCTTCATTCTTTTATTATTATTATTATTATTATTATTACAAAATACACAGATCTCTAGGGCCTCTGAAGGGCAGCAGGGATTTGGCGGTATTTACAACAAGAAAAACAGAAAAAGGAGGCAGCAGACAGGCTGTGCTAATTATAGCTACACTGGCATTTAGAACTCTTCTATTTTTCACTTTTCTCATACAGAGGAGAAACCTTAAATAGCCCCAAAGAGACAGAGTGACTACATCTTTAGCAAATAACTTCCATAAATTTAGAGACTGCATTAATACAGTGTTAATGCAACTGCGTAAACACTCCTTGATGAATAAGTAAAAACTTGCAAGTTTCCAATTTGTGTGCTGCAGATGCAGATGTGGTGCTGTGCTTCTGGACAGTTTTAGTCTTTTCTTTCTTAAGGTCTCCGAACCCTGAACTTACTGCTTAGACTGCATCCATAGTCATGGAAAAAGCCCGGGTGCCTCAGGGAAAGCAGCGAGAGAGAACTGAGGGCATTTCTCCTTCCAAGTAGGTCTTGATTGTGTACCAACCACATGAGGGTACTGGTTAATGTGCCGATTCCTGGATCGGACCCTCAGCCATCCCATTTATTATTGTTATTGTTGTTGTTGTTGTTTTGGTCTGGAGCAGAGTTTAGGAGTCTGCATGTTTAGTATACATCCTTGGTTGATCTGGCGCAGGGGAACACGCACACCAAAAAACACTGCCCTAACATTCCTAAGGGATTCAAAATAGCTTTCTGGATACAAATATTATTTTCTCTTTTGAAAGATACTGGGCTTCAGAGAATAGCCAAAGGTTATGAGCTCACATCTGTTACAGAACCAAACAATCTCTCTACCATCTTCTTGGAAATTAGTCTTGAATCTCACCGTGACAGCTCCTGGTGTGTTATTTTCATTAACTCTGGCATTGTCATTCAACTTTTCAGATGGTTTTGTGTATCTACCCAAGTAGAAGGTGTGTTCCTAGGAGGCAAGAACTACCTATGCTTATACATATATTTTTAAATGATTTTGACATTTTCTAGCAGTCTTAATAAATATTTATTAAGCCCTCAATAAACTTATTTTAATTTTGGCTAAAATGCAACCTAAGTTTCTTAAAATTCTGGTTTAACTTCTGAAGCATGAAACCACTTCTCTCATGAATATTGCTTCAAACCCACTTATTCTAATAACCCTTGCAAGATAGACAATGGAGGCCGCACCTAATATTCACTAGAAATTGGCAACTGGGCACTTGGGCTCTGTTATTTAGCCCCAAGGAAAAGGCAGGGCCACAGTAATAGCTTTGACTGATTACTTGGCAAGGGAAACCAAGCCCTTGGGTGTTCCAGACTCTCTTTGGCCTATAAACCTGTTTGAAAACCTGTTCCCAGAATTTAAAGCTTAGCTCAATTGAGGTCAGTATTATAGTAATGTCAATAATTCTACTGCTCTCCGCTTTCAGGCAGACCAGGACAATTCATCACTGACTTTATGTTCATGGAAAGGCAACTTTTGGGAAAAGAGCTCTAACTTAAGCTACTTTATTTTGATTTTCTTTCCCTTAAAAAACAGTCCTGCCAATATTAATTTCTTTGGATTTTGTGCTTTCTAAACCTCAGCACCCTCCAGTGCCTGGAATTATTCTCTAAAACCAGCCTGGTGCTGAATACACAAGATTTGGGACATCACCAGGGCAATGACTGGAGGCTTCCAGAAAAAGATCAAATAAACCATTGGGTCTGAAAGTAATTTTCCATAATTCAGACTTATTGAAGTTCGAAGAGTTAACCTCTGCCTTTAGCTGGTTAGTTGGCTTTTAAGGGGTCTGATATGGAGCTCTACTGCCTAGTGCAGTGATGGCGAACCTTTTGAGCTCGGCGTGTCAGCATTTTGAAAAACCCTAACTTAACTCTGGTGCCATGTCACATATAGAATTTTTTTGATATTTGCAACCATAGTAAAACAAAGATTTATATTTTTGATATTCATTTTTTTTTGATATTCATTTTATATATTTAAATGCCATTTAACAAAGAAAAATCAACCAAAAAAATGAGTTCGCGTGTCACCTCTGACACGTGTGTCATAGGTTCGCCATCACTGGCCTAGTGGAATATTCTGGCAGGGTCAAGCTCTCTCTCTTAGGAGTCAAAAGCTTCATGAATAATACACGAATGTTCAACCCCCCTGAGCAGGCAGCTCCACCTCTGGGCAGCTGTTAAGAGCACCTGCCAAAGTAATGAACTGCATCCCCTTCCCGTATGGAGCACCGTTCCTGGGGTTGGAGTTGGACTGATGATCGTTAGCGGTTCCACTACCATAAGATTCCTCTCTTTCATTCTAGAAGCTGAGGAAGCGAAATGGCTCAATCTAGACATTTATTGGATCAGATAGAAAAGTTGTTCATTCACATCCAGGATAACACCATAACTTTTCCCTAGGAATAGACAGTATCTTTATATTTAGAAGAGTTTTCTCTTAATATATTAATAATACAAATACAGCTTCAAACTTTAAGGTTTCTGTGAATTGATTTGCTAACACTGAACTAATTTTCAAATAGTGGAGAAATAATGAACTAGAGCTGCTATTACATATAATCTTTAAGAACTAGCTGATCAGCCCTAGCCAGTTTGGCTCCGTGGATAGATAGAGGGTCAGCCCAGGGACTGAAGGGTCGAGGGTTCAATTCCGGTCAAGGGCGTGTACCTTGGTTACAGGCTTGATCCCCAGCTCAGGTCGGGGCCTGGGAGGCAACCAATTGATGTGTCTCTCTCACAACGATGTTCTTTCTCTGTCTCTCCCTATCCCTTCCACTCTCTAAAAATCAATGGGAACATATCCTCGGGTGAGGATTAAAAAAAAAAAAGAAATTACCTGATCATATTGAGCTCCTTATGGGCAGGGTCTAAGACTTCTTTATTTTTGTATTTTCAGCATTCATCCCAGAATGATGCTTGGTGCATCACAAGCACTAAGTAAATTATTTAGATTTAGTGACTTAAATATATTTTCTTTTCCACAACATGGGCAGAAAAATGGTTAAAGAACTGTAATACCTTAATGACCAGTAGAGGGCAATCAAGTTAGTTTTTAAACCCACTTTCAGTCCCAGTTCTCATCTGCAAAGGCTTTCTCTAGAGCAGTCTCACTTAGTCTCCTGATTGAACTTTAATTCAGCTACCAGCCTTTTGTACTCTATCAGGACCCCCATTTGGGCCCCTACAATAGTGTGTATATAAGGGGATGCACCAGAGGGTCAGACTGGCTGGTGTGCATTGATTTATACACTGTAGCTCTCTCTGTTTGGTTAATTCTCAGCCTAATCAAAACCACTTGACAAGAAGTAATTCTGAAAAATAAAAGACCACAACAGAACCACTGGGTACGATGTGGGCTAGGGCAGATTTTTGGCTTTAAGCTTCATGTGGTAGAAAACTATCTATAATAATAAAAGGGTAATATGCTAATTAGACCAGACATCTTCCGGACATCCTTCCTGACAAAGCCAGGGCCAGAGGGAAGCCAGCCCGGGTCCTGGGTGCCTGCGGGTGGTCAGAGGAGGGAAGCAGCCCGGGTCCCGGGTGCTGGAAGGAAGCTGGTGCCAGCAACCTGGCAAAGGAAGGACTACTCTTGCATGAATTTTCATGCATTGGGCCTCTAGTATCCTATATAATCCTATATAATAAAAGGCTAATATGCAAATGGTTGTGACACCCTTACACCATAATGACCGATCAGCAGGAGGCTGTGTTCATGGCAGGCACGGGTGGGCAGGGCTGCATGCGCGGCGAGGCTGGGGGACATGAGGCTGTGTCCTCCACCTGGTGCTGGCCAGGGGATGTGACGCTGTTATTGTTTATTTATTAATAAATTTATATATTATTTTCATATACATTTTACTAGTTTTCTTTCATCTCTGACACTTCTATTATAGAGAAAGGGAAAATAGCAATATTAAAATATTCCCTCTATGCCCTAACTGGTTTGGCTCAGTGGCTAGAGCATCAGCCTGCAGACTCAAGGGTCCCAGGTTTGATTCCGGTCAAGGGCATGTACCTTGGTTGAGGGCACATACCCAGTAGGGAGTGTGCAGGAGGCAGCTGAATCAATGTTTCTCCCATTGATGTTTCTTTTTATTTTTTTTTAAATATATTTTATTGATTTTTTACAGAGAGGAATGGAAAGGGATAGAGAGTTAGAAACATCGATGAGAGAGAAACATTGATCAGCTGCCTCCTGTACACCCCCTACTGGGGATGTACCCGCAACCAAGGTACATGCCCTTGACCGGAATCGAACCTGGGACCCTTGAGTCTGCAGGCCGACGCTCTATCCACTGAGCCAAACCGGTTAGGGCCCATTGATGTTTCTAACTCTATCCCTCTCCCTTGCTCTCTGTTAAAAAATCAATAAAATATATTACAAAAATATTCCCTCTAATTAATTCCCTTCTAATGTACACGAATTTCATGCACCCGGCCTCTAGTATACAATAAAATACTAATTTCATGTAAAAGAATCACCCTCAACACATGTCCACATGTATGCATATAGACAAGATCAGAAGAAAATGCAAATTGTGGTTACTAATACATGGTTTAGTGAGGAGTTAATACATGGAATAGCAAGGGTTTTTATCTCATTAATGTTTTCTTATTTTTTTCAGATATTTATAGTGCATATATATTTCTTCTATATATAAAAATATATTATGTGGCACCTCCCACCTACAATTTAGGAACGAGGAGGAAGGCATGACTAATTTTCCAGAAACAAACTTTAACAGGGCCTGAACGCTTTGACAGTGTTCGCCAGTCTCCCCTCTGTGGGAAGGTGAAGGCCATCTAGAGAGTCATGGACATTCCGCTGACTGGATGATCCCATGTCCCCCAGGGGTCACGGAGCCACATGTTGTCTCACACATCCCTCCACCTATGTGGAGCAGGCAAGCAACAACAGCTTTAAGGGGGGACTTTTCCTCTGCATTTCACTTTTTCTTTTCCTTTTCTTAGAGAGGGAGAGAAAGAAATATCGACGTGAGAGTGAAACATGGATCGGCTGCCTCCTGCACACTCCCTTCTGGGGATCAAGCCCGCAGCGTCAGCATGTGCCCTGACCCGGAATTGGACCCTGATCTCTTGGTTCCTGGGTCAATGCTCAACCACTGAGCCACACTGGCTGGGACATTTCACTTTTCGATGTTGCATTATTCTATTTCCACAGAGCCCTGAGTGTTCTCCTATGTTATTTTCAGCCTCTTTGCACAGGGGGAAAAAAGTCAATCAGTGTTTCTGGCATGCCAGCTTTTTATAAAGAGAACGCAAAGTAGAGCGTCCTGCCAGTCCGATAAAACCCAGGATTTACGTGAGATCTTTCATCTGCATCCAGTTAAAATGTTCCCTGCCAGGCAACTGAAGGCACATGGAAATCGTCATTGGAAAAGGCCTTACTGTAAGGACTGGACGCAGAGGCTCAATTGTTGCTTCAGCTCCTCCTCCTTTTCATAGGCCTCGAGGACACTGTGCGCTTTGTCGTGGTGATAGCAGTAGATTTTATAAATATCTTCCAGCGGCCCTTTCATCTGCAAGAACACTTCTCCTGACAAATGTAAAACAAAGGCAAAATGATATCAGGTCAGACCCAACGGGGACTTCACATACTTATTCTTCAGCAACACTAACGAGTGTTGGTTGGGTACCAGTTTATGCCCGGGGTCATTCAGAAGAGGTGGAAAACATTAGTGACCTTCCCTCCTTTCCTTTCCATTCTCGCCTCCCTCTTTTCCTCGCCCTTCTTTTTTCCTCCCTCCCTCCCCTTCTTTTATAAAGCAAAGGATAATGAGCATAAGGGAGGTAGGCGGCCAGTGAAAGCTGGTTTTCTCAGCGGAGAATGTGCACCTGGCTGGTGTGCAGGAGCCTGGCAAAGGGCAGCCTTTTAGGGCCAGTCTGTGTGGGTTCGGGTTGGGCTGTGCTGCCGACGTGGACAGGTTATGTCTTGGACAATGTATTCTTATCTTCTGAGCCTATTTCCTCACTTATAAAATGGAAACAATAACAGATCCAACTTTATAGGGTCCTTATTAAAATTAAAGACACTGTGTGTGTGTGTGTGTGTGTGTGTGTGTGTGTGTGTGTGTATGTGTGTGTTTGTGAAGTTCAGAGTCCAGTATTACATGGTAAATGCTCAACATAGAGCAGCTATCGTTATGTATTAAAAGTATGGGAAGTGACATTTTAGGCACTAAAATGACATTTTCATATGTATTCCACCAACATTTCCTGAGGTTCTCTGAAAGGCAAGCAATGGAGTTTAAATAAAGTATTTCCTTAAATGTTATAATAAAAAGATTTGGCCATTATTTCTGTTAAAATAATGGACATAATAAATAATGTTAATTGGATACTATAAACAAGGGTTATGACTGTCTTCTTCATAAAGTAACTTGGGCGGATTGTGCCCCGGCAGATATTATGATAAAATTGGGTCTCTGACAGCTCAAATAGGTATTGAACAATGGTTTGACTTAATCACCCACTCCTTCACTTACAAATGTGTATTAAGCATCCACTACCCTATCCCGCACCTTGTTAAGTTGATCTGAGATACACTCAAAAAAATATGTGATAGGGTCTGCTCTCAAAAGCATTGCAGATTTGGGCTTGATAATGATTTGGGTTGAATTGATTGGGAGTGATATGGACTTACTAGTCTGGCCCTATTATACTAACAAGTCACTCTTCCTTCAGAAATAGAAGTGTCCTTTGTATTTTCAACATGTTTTGCTCATATTAACGGCTCAACTCCCTGTATTTGTGGAGATAAGAGGTTATTTATCCTTATTAAATAAGAATAGACAAATCTGAGTTTAAAAGAAATAAATGATTTCCCCAAAGTCCTAGCAACCTAAATTCCTAGTCCAGTACTGCTATGGTAGGTGTTAGTGGAATAATTAGTGTGGATATTATGATTATAGGTAGCAAGCAATTTATTCATTTTGTGTTCTCAAAGTGTCATTTGATCTTCATGTTGTTTCTTGTTGGCAAAGCCAGGATTAGAGACCATATTCTTCTCTCTCTCTCTCCCTCTCTCTCTCTCTCTCTCTCTCTCTCTCTCTCTGGCATTATCCCTCCACACATCAGAGCTTTGCTGGACACTGTACAAGGTGATGCAGTTAGAAAGAATCAGAAATCACTGTCATGTAGCATTTGTGTGGTGACTTGGGGAATGACTTTAAAAATTCTTTCCACTCAATTCTATAATTTTTAAAATAGAAATAAGTAATAGTATCTCTGGAGATGAATTTGAGAATTAAATGGGATGTAAAACGTGCCTGGCATTGACAAGTTGCTCAGTTAACATCATTCATCTCTTAATGCTGCTCCACTATCTCTAGAATTAAAACACCAGTCCTTTTCTAATTTATATCCAGCCAATGCAAGGCTTTTCTTTCCTTTTCATTATATGGGATTTCCCTAAGATTGTAGACTGTGTGTGTGTGTGTGTGTGTGTGTGTGTGTGTGTGTGTGTGTGTGTTGGACTTCAGAAACTTAGCAACTGCGAGAATCTTTGGAACTGAAGGTATGAAGAATTCTTGTTTTGTCCCTGGGATTGTACTGAGTTGATCATTCTCGCAATGTAGGTCTTGTAGATTTGCTCTTCAAGACAGCAACACACACAGTAAGAAATAGAGTAGTTGTAAGAAGAGGAAATAAAATAGGATAGTGATTAAATTTAGTTGGGCAAAAGATGCAGAGAGTCTCCCAGGGACAGAGCCAGGTGGCACATGGGGGTGAGGCCTTGGGCTGGCGGAGGAATTAGGCCCAGCAGTGGGAGTGAGCACCAGACTCTGAGGACGCTCAGGAGCGAGTCGGGCGAGAGGCTTAGTGTACACAGCCCAGCACAAGATGAAGTTGTAAACATGTATGTTCGCTACAAAGCAGCATAGAAACAAAAGAAAGAAAGAGGTAAGGACACGCATAAATCCACACTAGGATCAAGTCAGAAAGTTAAAAAACAGAGGAAAAGACATTTATTTGACACACAATGAAACCATTAATTGCAAATTCCTTTGTATTTTCTTTAGCACAGTGGTCTAGTTTGAAAGAATGTATATCTCCCCTTAACAGCAGTCAAAGTTTCTATTCTTTCCCAAGCAAAATTCTGTTGGGGCTCTAATAATAATTATTAAAGTTAAAAGGTATTTAAGTACTCTAATTGAAAACCATTTATTCACCCAAAGGCCACGTACAGCTATGGCGGGCAGAATATTTGATTTCCTCCCAGCCCTACCAATGTATTCTGCTTCATAACAGTGCAGATGAAGCGATGTGTCTTGCAGCAAGAAATGATTTCGTTTCCACGGTAACATAACTGGCGGCTGCATTTCTTTAGTGGTGAAGGGCAACTCCTCTATCTAATGTATGTGGGTTTGAAGGGATGATTAGAAGCGGTGAAGGGACTGAGCCAAGACCAGGGAAGGTAATTTCACTTCTGGCTGCCTGTCACAAAGGCACCAGAATCCTCTAAAATAAATATGACTGTCTTGTGCTTCTTTTTAAAAATCCTACAACCTGACATTCTGCACTAGCTGGCATGCAAAAGGAGGGAAAAAAGGAATGCGCCCTTTTAAATGTCCTATTTATCTCCTTTAAAAACAAGTCCCAAGGATACTGAGTGCATTTTCTGTCTTGGTCTCATTACTCCTGTGTTCCATGTTGCTCCCTTCATTAATGTAAATATATTCATGTTCCTCTTGCTGCACACCTCTTTTTAAAAAATATATTTTATTGATTTTTTTACAGAGAGGAAAGGAGAGGAATAGAGAGTTAGAAACATCGATGAGAGAGAAACATCGATCAGCTGCCTCCAGCACACCTTCTACTGGGGATGTGCCCGCAACCAAGGTACATGCCCTTGACCGGAATTGAACCTAGGACCTTTCAGTCCACAGGCCGATGCTCTATCCACTGAGCCAAACCGGTTAGGGCAGTGGTTCTCAACCTTCCTAATGCCGCGACCCTTTAATACAATTCCTCATGTTGTGGTGACCCCCAATTTCATTGTTACAAATTGAACATAATTAAAGCATAGTGATTAATCACAAAAACAATATATAATTATATATGTGTTTTCTGATGGTCTTAGGCAACCCCTGTGAAAGGGTCGTTCGACCCCCAAAGAGGTCACGACCCATAGGTTGAAAACTGCTGGGTTAGGGCAAGGGCCCACCTCTTCTTTACTTCCAGACCAGCATGTCCGTGCCAGGATGTGCCAGACCAAACCATGAGGCTTCTGAATTATCCTGACCCCACTCCAAGATGGACTTCCCCTCGGGGAAGTAAAACAGGGTTAGCCAATGAAAAGCAAGCAATCCTCTTGTCCTAGGAAAATGGCATCCAATAAAAAGAAGTATAGCCTTTACTTCATCCTTATTTGGCAACAATTTAATGAGTGACAATTATGCACCAAACACTTTGGTAGCTACCGCAGATCCAAAGATTCAGCATTTTCCTCAAGGAACTTATGAAGGGAGAGAGGAGAGCTAACTCATGTACCACACGATGAGGCAAGTATGTCAACAGGGCTATGAAACACAGAGGGTCACCTATTCTGCTCTTTTTTTTCCCCCCAACTGCTGGGAAGTCAGCATCTTAGTTGAATATAATCTTTAACAGAAAAGTTTGTCCACATATTATTTTAGTTGTTGTTGTTAATCTTCACTCAAGGATATTTTCCCATCAATTTTTTGAGAGAGTGTGAAGAACAAGGAGAGACACAGCGAGAGAAACATTGATGTGAGAGAGACACATCGATTCGTTGCCTCCTTCATGCGCCTGACCAGGGCCGTGGATCAAGCCTGCCACCAAGGTACACGTCCTTGACAAGAGTTGAACCAGGGACCCCTGAGTCCTTGGGCGCAGGCTCTATCCACTGAGCTAAACTGGTTAGGGTCCATTCTGTTCTTGAAGACCTTGAGCTATTTCCAAAACAGTCTGCCCTTGAGATAGGAGCTGAGTGAAGGCAAGAGCACAGAGACACACTGAGGGAGCAAGGTCTGTTCAGAGACTGCAATTGGGCTCATATAGCTGCAGATGCCATGTCCGTGCGAAGTTTCAGAAGATGCTGCATTGGCCTGCAGCGGCCAGGTCCAGAAGGACCTTGTGTATCAGCAAGGAGTGGGAACTCCAGCCTGAAGGTGATGGAGAAACACTGATGGGTTTTAGGCAGAAGCCTAACATGATTGAACTGTCTTTCCGAGAGATTAGTCTGGGACTCAGTCATATGAAAGTTGGAATTTGGGAAAGAGTTAGTGAGACAGGAAAAGAGAAACCAATTGAAAGGCTTCCATAATAATACAAGAAGTTACCAATGAGGGCTAAAACAGGAAGTCATAGCAGTTAGGAGAAAGTGCTTGATTACCAACAACCATCTTTCAGATTCTGGTTTTACCGTTTACTCTTGTGACATTTGGGAAACTGACTTGACTCTCTGTTTCTCAATTTCCTCATTGAGAAATTGGAATAATAACAATTATAGGGTTGTGTGAAGATTAAATGAGTTAAAGTATTTGATGTATTTATATCAGCAGCTTGAATGTG